GATAGCATCTCCTGTAAAAACAGCAGCAATTAAGGAAGATACTAGTGATGCTGTGAAAAGCTTAGACCTCATACACAACTAGTGGAGTTGTAAAAACTACAAACACCATGTAAAACAGTGCTTCCTTAGCTAAAAATAGAAAGTCCCATTCATGAGTGTGTATCCTAGAGAAATAAGAGCAGTGACAGGAGTAGTATGACAGCTACATTCACTGCAGCATTACTCATAATAGAAAAAGATGAAAATAAGTGTCACCAGAACAGTGGTCAAGCAAAATGTGCATACGTGATGTGGACACTATATAACCAGAAGGAATGATGAGTTGCATAATATCTGGTGGATATTATGCTGAGTCAAACAGACAAATGCTGTACGTTTTCATAAAAAGTCCAAGAGGAATTCAGCATTCTTTATTGGTTATCAGGGATGGGAGAGTGAATCACTTACTGGATAGTAAACACGTTAATTCTGGTGAAGAGAAAGGCCATATACAAGGTGAGGAAGTTAGAACAACACAGCCACGGCACTTGATGACAAAAGTATACAAGAACAATGGACTGCAGTAAAGGTTCTGGTGGGCTGGCGGTAAGGAGTTGTGCTGCCAACCCAAAGGCATAATATGACTGGCCTCCAACAGCTGCTCCTTGGGATAAAGATGGGCAGATTCCTCCTGTGTGATTAACTGACTCTGAAAATCCACTGAAGAGGCAACTATGAGTGGGTTCCAACTTGACGGTGCAGAACACAGTAAATGCTATTGAGTTACATGGGTCTGCAGCCACCATAATAGCAACCAAAAATGTGCTGGTTGGTTACAGAGATACATACGCTGCATAGATGAGGGCGGGTGTGTGGACATGCATGCATGTGAACATTCAGGTATAGTACATGTGCACACTTGGTACGTACTACATACATGTAATGGGGTACATGGAGGACACAGTTATAAAAACTACTTACATCCAAACACCTCGTCGGACTGAGTTCCTGGGCTCTGAGGTTAAGGACCACAACCTTGTGACATCTAGGTCAATCGGCATAACAAGGTTCAGTGCCTGAGCTGGTAAGTAGTGCCTGAATTCTTAAAAACTCATGAGGGGCCATTTAAAATACAGTGATTGGCATCTTCCCATCTGAAGCAAAGGAGAGTAACAGAAACCAAAAATTCAAGGATGCAACTAGTCCAGAGGTGTCAAGACCACACAAAACCTCTGATCTCCAGCCTGAGAATAGAAGAGCCAGCTGGTACCTGGCTAACGATTTAAAGGCGCACTGAGCAGGGGGCAAAATAGAAGGTCATGGTTAGAATGGAAGAACAGTGTAAAACAGAACTCAAGTTCATAAAAAAAATACCAGGTTTATTGACTAAAAGAGACTGCAGGAATCCCTAAGACAATGACCCTGAGATGCCCTTTAACTTGGAAGCCACTCCTGGAAGTTAACCTTCAACCAATAACAGATTGGCCTGTACCGAGTAACACCCCAATGAATGTACTCCTTAAGCAAGCAATCGTACATATGATAACAAACAGGCAACATGCCCAGAAGCAGGAGTGCGTAGGCAGAGAGGGGCAAGGAAAATGGAGGGACAGAACCTGGAGGAATGCTGACCCATCGTTGGCATAGCAACCACCATAATGGAACAACTGTGTATAAACTGGAATGCAGCACTGGTTTGTGTAAATGTTCACTAACAGTGGATTTGGGGGAGGGAAGAATTGACATGGTGAACCCCAGAAGCATTCTGGGAAGAAACACATAAAAGCTCATTAAAAAGACAGGAAAAATAGAAAAGGCCCAAATGGATATAAGAAGGGTCTCTGAAACTTGGATTTTTGCACAAAGTAGCTAAAGCAAATCAAAGAATAATCAGGTAAAACCTGGACAGAAGACTTCAAAGGTTCACTGGAGGAGACATGGTAAAGAGATGAAATGGTCAAAGACCCAGAGTTAGAAGTTTGAAAGAGAGCATAATTGGTATTTCTCAAGTTAAAAGAACTTAAGCAATGAAAAACAAGGAACTCATGCAATATTATTCAAAGTGGGTGACCCTGGAGGACATTATGCTGAGTGAAATATCTCAGTCACAAAGGGACAAATACTGCATGGTGCCACTGTTGTAGAATGGGTCTGACATCAGGGTGGGGTATGACAGAAAAAACTGGATAAATTATGTATATTGTATTGAAACAGATGAGGGAAAGAACAGATTAGAAGTGATAAATGATTGAGTATTATGGTTAGCACAGGAATCCAGAATAAGGTTGCATAGAGAAGTGTACTCGGGGTGAGGGGTGGGAGGAAGGGACGTGGGAATTGTATACTAATGAAGGAATTTTTTTTTCTTTTTTTTTCTCTCTTCGGAGGGCGAAGCGAGCTGGTGAGGAGGGGTGGGCAGGGAGAAAATTGTGGCAATGAATGAATGGAAATCCAAAACCTCTGTAAAAAAAAAAAGAACTTAAGCAAAAAATTCCATAGGCAGAAATTGGAATGAGAGTTAATGGATGAAGTAGAAGGAATACACAGAGGTCTTGAATTAAACAATCTGTTGATGTTCACACATTTTAGGAGGCAGAATATGATTAAGAACTGCAGGTACCAAAGGAAGACATAAGGTACACTGAAGAGGACAAAAGTCAAGGTTCCTGGAACTGGCAATACAAACTGAGATGCTTCAACAAAGAAATAATGCTGGAAGCATGCAAAAGAAACTTGGAATAAAGCCATCTGGTCAGCTGACTGAAGAAATCCATTACTAGTGCTCATTCTAGATTACTGAAACTAGTGGGCAATCATTGACATTACATGCTAGCAAAATTTTCCAAGGCAAATTTTGAAATCCTTGCAGCCATATATACAAATCCCAGCTTCCTCTAGTCTGAGACCAGAAGTACTAAAAAGTACTAGTAATGATTGCATATGCCGGAGATAAAACAGTCCTAGTTAGAATGGGAGACAAATGTAAGAGAGGGAACCCCTCAAATTCATTAAATAGGCTGGACTTAGTAGACTAATGAGGACTAGGAGAAACTCCCAAGTCAATAGAAAAATACTTGAAACTCAGAAAATTTACAAGAGGACGTGGCATGAGGGATATCACCATTGATGTCAACTGAGGTTGAAAACAAATTATCAGGTGTTTATTGGCTCTGTGAAGGTATTCAACTATGTTGGCAGTAAAGTAAGGATAATATTACAAAGATTGTGAACTCCAGAACACTTAAACATCCTCATGCAGAACGAGTGCATGAATCAAGATGTGGTCATTCAATAGAACAGAGTTCAGAACCAGAAAAAGTATGTGGAAGGGTTGTATCTTTTTTCTTACTAATCCAATCTGCACATCAAACAAACTGTGCAGCTGGGCCACAAGAAGAATATGGCATTAGGATTAGAGGATAACTCATTAGCAATCTACAATATGCAGATGGTACAACCTTTTAAAAAATGACAGCTTGAGTGCTCGCTTCGGCAGCACATATACTAAAATTGGAACGATACAGAGAAGATTAGCATGGCCCCTGCGCAAGGATGACACGCAAATTCGTGAAGCGTTCCATATTTTCGACCCTGAAATTAACCAGTCTGTAATGAAGGCTAACTCCTTTCACCTACAAATTTCGTCTTTGGATACAAAGCTAAGTGGATAGTCCTTACGGAGGGACTGTTTAAAAAGAGGCAGGGAAAATAAAAGAAAAAAAAATATGAAAAAAAAATGACAGCTTGAAACAATTAAGTATGGTTTAACAGGAAAATATGGGGGAAATGAAATCCCCACAACTGAACTAGTAAGTAGGAAAAATATTTAAGTTGTCAACAACTTCATTCTCCCTGAGTCAAGAAGCATCATCAATGGGAATAAAACCCCTGCTGTGCTGGGCAATCTGTGGCAAAAGATGACTTGGTTCATTCAGGTGAACTTACTCATCAGTCACTTCATAGGCATGCAAAGTTAGACAATGAAAAAAATAAGATGCATTAAAAATTTTTTTAAAAATAAGATGCATTCAAATTGTGTCATCAAAGACCGTCGAGTATCCTGTGGGGATGCCAGAAAGAATAAACAGAGGAACCTTAGAAGTGAAAATGATGAGACTTCATCTTGCTTCCTTTAGATATGTTATCAGAAAGACCAATCACAGCAAAAACACATTTGGTAGATAATTTAATTGCATGGATCAAACACAATGTATATGAATTGTATGCAAATCAATCAAATTTTTTTAAAAAAAAGTGGAATGATAGATTACCTGCTTCAAAGGGCCTTTTTAGCGTGTTGAGCAAAGATGTCACTTTGAGGACTATGAAGTGTGTGACCCACCACGTAGTATTTTCATAGGTCATATGAAAGCTGGACAATGACTAATAAAGACTGAAGAATTACAGAGGGAGGGGGAAGGGAGGGAAGAGCCTCAAAAATGAGGGAACCAACATCGTGGATTGACGCACTAGCCACAGTGGTGGACACAAACATCCCCACAATCCTAAGCCTGCCACGGGCCAGGGCAGTGTTTCCTTCTGTTTAACATGGTGTGAGGGATGGCGCAGGACAGGACTGGTTTCCTATCTTTTGTTCATAGGGCCACTATGAGTCGTACTCGACTCAGTGGCACCTAACAACAACAACAACCCATCAATCAGCAGCAAATCCTCAGTGACAACAATTCTAAAACCAGTACATACCTCCCGTCCAGCTTGAATTCAAACGAGAGCCCTAACAGCTTGCTTTAAAACACAGTGAATTGATCCTGTGTAAGCGAAGGGGGAAAATAAAGGTGGTCTTTGTTCAGACAGATCCCTCCTCTCACACACCAGCCGGCTGTGGTTATGTCTTAGATGCGAACATTTCTGAAGACTAGATGGGAAGGCTGTCACTGCCAAAGGCTGCCCCTGAGGGGACACGGACAGTGTCTGCAGACTTCACTCTGGGACTCTCAGCCTCTTTCAATCTCCACTGTTTTCCAGGCGATGGATTAGTTCAAGGCTGGCCTTCGTCACCATCAGCCCTGCTGCCAGACGGGCTGAGCGTGAGGTTGGAAGCGGGAACAGCTGGCACAGCAGAAACTGGAGTAATACTCATTGCCGCAGAGCTGGGCCTGCAGGATCAAGTCACAGTTGGCCAGCTCGGGCTGGTCAATGCACTCGCTGCCAAGGTCCCTCGGTGGGGCAGCAGCTGGTGCTGCAAGACAATGGAGAAGAGGGAGTGGTGAGGAAGCACCAGGAGAACGTTCTCACCATCACTACTCCTTTTTTAAAAAAGCCTTGTATCTGATAGTTTCAAAAAGTTAGTCTATAACCTTCTAATGTGTCTGTACCATTACCAACCACGTACTCACTGCCCATCGAGGTCAAATTGACTCATAGGCGACTCTCCAGGGGGTTGTCAAGAGGCTGCAAATCGTACAAGGGAAGATTGCCCATCTTTCTCCTGAGGCACTGGTGGATTCGAACCACCAGAGAGGCACCACCGTTGGGCTAATGGCTCAGTTCCCTACCAACCATGGCCATATATGGTTACCAGTGGTGATAATTTCTACCAACTGTTGGCCTCACACTGGCACATGGTGTGTTCCTCCACCAACATCATCTGCAGCCTGAGCCCACAGAAGACACCCACCTGCCCACCCAAATGCCTGTTAACTGGACAATTAGACATCCGGAAGTTAACTCTGAAAAGATTAATGACACTGTTGTGGCCTCCGGATTAGGAAGAAAGGAGGGATGATGCTGCCAGGTCAACCAGGTGCTGTGTCCTCCAGCTCCACAAAGTTGGCATCCTCCATCGATACCCCCTAGCTTATCTGAGGCACTTGGCAGCTCATCTTTCCAGTTTTCCCAGTTCTCCTGAGAGAAGACAGTGAGTCTTCTCAGTAAAGGGTTAAGAAAACAATCTCACTAATATCAGCCATACAGTAATGGGAACACTGCCCCCAGAGCCTCCTCCCTCTGAATTTATCGGCCAACTTCTGGGAGCATCTCTATCTGTGTTGTTATGTGCTGCCGATTGGGAACCGACTCATAGCTAACCCTCCGGCATGTTTTCAGAGGCAGTAAATGGAATCAGAATTGACTACCTATCTTTCTCCTGTGGAGCAGCTGGTACATTCAAACCGTGTACCTTTGGGTTGGCAGCACAGTTCCTTACCACTAGTTTCCCAGCGCTCCCTTCTCTGTCTCACAAATGTCTACTAACACTGTCTTGATTGACTCAGTGACTGGGGTAATGGGAGTAGGAGTGTTGGCTCAAAATAGAGCAGGTTTCAGAGCTGTTGTGCTTAGAGTCCTATGAGTCGTAAGTGACTCAGCAGCACACAACAGCTGTTGCTTCTTAGGACTCAAGTGGTTTTTTGAGTCACTTCCGTTTTCTCTCTGAAAGAGGCTCTTAGGGCTCACCTTCCCTTAAATCAGAAGCATTCTCTTCATCCTCTCCCCTCACTCCCTCTCAAACGCTGTCCCTAACCAATGAACGACCTACTGAAGTTTGGTAGCTCTATATCACAAGAGGCCTTACAGTGGTAATCAGCCTGCTTACATCAATGGCCAGCCATTGTCTCAGTTGTTCAGGGCCTGGGCTTCTTGCAGAGCCAGCCAGCAGATGACAAGCACAGTGGTTAAACCACACACTGGCAGATACAATATGGCCTAGTGGGTAAGGAGTTGCATTGCAAAGCCAAAGGCAGGTGCTTTGAATCCATTAGTCAGTTGCTTTAAGGGAGAAAGATGGACAATCTCCTCTGTGCAATTTACAACCCCCAAAACTCAGCTATGACTATTCTCACTCAACAGTACACATAATAAATTATCAACACACACACACGTATCGGGAACTCGGACAATGACTAAGGATGAGTTCGAGTTGTGGTGCTGAAGAAAAGTTTTGAACATACCATGGACCACCAAGAAAACAAATAGGTCTGTCTTGGGGAGGGTGAAACCAGGTTTCTCCTTGGAGGCTGGAATTTTAAAGCTCTGTCTCACATACTGTGGGCACGTGGCCAGGAGAGACCAGTCCTTGGAAAAGGACATCATACTCGGAAGGGTGGAGGGACAGCACAGGAGAGGAAGACCCTGAATGAGATGGATTGATACAGTGACTGAAGCAATGGGGGTCGGTATGTGAGAATTAGTGAGACGGGCTCAGGACAGGGCAGGATTCAGAGCTGTTGTACTTAGGGCCACTGTGGGTTACAGGTGACTCGATGGCACATAACAACAACATATGGAACTCTGGTGGCCTAGTGGTAAAAAGCTGCACTGCAATCCTGAAGGCATATGGTTCGAGACCACCAGCTGCTCCGCAGGGGAAGGATGGGCAGTCTCCTTCCATGCGATTAACTGCCTCTAAAAACCCACCAGAGGGTCAGCTGTGGGTCGGTTCTGACTCTATAGGACATGACAAACAACAACATATATATATATACACACACACATATACATACATACACACACATATATACATATACATACATATATATACACACACACACACATTATATATCACCTTATAAATTACTGTGCATCTGACCCAAGCCATGGTATGGTCAATCACATCATATGAGTGCAAAAGCTAGACAACAAATCAAACATCCCCAAAAAAGAATGCATACTTTTGAATTATAGCTTTGTTAAAGAATATTGAACATGCCCTGAACTGTCAGAGGAATGCACAAGATTGTTCTGGAAGCAGGGCTAGAATGCTCCTTGGAAGCTAAGATGGTAAGATTTCATCTCAGGTGTTAGCTCTCAGGAGAGACCAGGCCTGGAGAGACCATCATGCTCACTAGCATAGAGGCTCAGTGAAAGAGAAGTGCAGTCCCTCTACAGATGAGCTGACACACAGTGGGCTCAAACCCAGCGTCACTGTGAGGACAGCAGGATGGACTATGCAGTGTTTGGTCTGCTGCATGGGTTGCTATAAACAGCTTCAACAACAACTTAAAAATCAGCACCTAACAACAACACTAACAGTAATATTAAGTATCATAATGAAATTCCAATCTTTTTCTAAAAATAAAGGCAGACTTAACAGTGATACTGCTGTTGTTCGGTGCCATCAAGTCAAGTATGACTCATAGCGACCCCACGAACAGACCTGAATCCCATCCTCACCACCCTGTGCCATCCTCACCGTCTGACACGCTTGAGCCCACTGCTGCAGTCACCATGTCAATCCATCTCGATAGGGATCATCCTCTCTTTCATTGACTCCACCCTTTTCAGGAATAGTCTCTTCTAGCAACAAGCCCAAAGCATGAGAAATGAAGATTGGCCACCCTTGCCTCCGAGGAGCACTCACTCCAGCTGCACCTTTTCCAAGTCATACCTGTTCATTCTTTTGGCAGTCCATGGAATATTCAGTACTCTACTCCAACACAACTCAAAGCATCAATTCTTCTGTCATCCTTATTCATTGTCCAGCTGTCAGATGCATAGCAAATAATTTAAAAGACCACAGCCTGAATCAGGCACATCTTATTCTTCAAGCTGACATCACTGCTCTTCAGTATTTTGGAGAGATTCCCAACAGCGGACTTGCCCAAAGCAATATGTCTTCTTATCTCCTGACTTCTAGCACCAAGGGTGTGGAAACCATTGAGTTTCAATCCTTTCTCCACCTGTCATGATGTTGCCCAGTGCTAAGGACCTTTGCCTTTTTGATGGTAAGATGCAATCCATATTGAGTGAAGCACTTCCACCACTATGGCGGCTAGCATGTTGTGATGTTGGAACTCTATACTACAATATCCCCAAAACCAGCAGGGTCACCCATGGGGACAGGTGTCAGGAAAGCTACCAAGCTAAGACCAGAAGGAAGGGGAAACTGCTACTTAAAAATTACCCAACGAAACCCCTATCGGCCACAGCAGAAGAAGACCTGATCACATGCTGGAGGTGAGCCTCCTCGGTTGGAAGCAGCAAACAAGAGCTGCAACAATGAACTTGCTGATCCCAACCATCAGCCCTGAGGACGGCACAGAAGAGACACTTCACTCTGTTACACCCAAGTTCACCAGAAGTAGGCGCAGAATCAGTGGAAACGATTAGCCTGGTTGTTCAGATGGGGAAAGTGACACTTAGGAAGGTCACGCCCCTTGTTACACTATTGTTGTTGTGTATTGAGTCAGAACTGACCCATAGCTGACCCTCTAGTGGGTTTTCAGAGACAGTTAATCACACAGGAAGAAGATTGTCTTTCTCCCAAGGAGCAGCTGGTGGATTCGAACCACATGCCTTTGAAATTGCAGCGCAGCTTCTTACCACTAGGTCATCAGAACTCCACGGTGTTACATTATTCATGTTAAAATATTTGCAACTGGGAGAGTGAACAGGATTAGAACCAGAGTCTCTCAGACTGCAGACCCTGAACTCTCACACAGCACATGACCACCCTCAAGAACAAGCAAGTACGCTTCGAATGCACCCCTTCCGCTGCTTGAGGGCAGGTGCCTTGTACCTGGTGGGAGCACCTTCACCTCCGTGCTGCGGCTGACCGCCTGGCTCCCTCGGTAGGCGCTGCAGGTGTAGGAGCCCTCATCCCTGGCCCGAGAGTTGTAGATGAGCAGAGTGCCATCCGGGGACTGATGGACATGGTGGCCATCCGCCTGCACGGGCAGCCCGTTCCTACGAGGAGAAGGACACAGGGCAGCTGTCCAGCCCCTGGAGGCTGTGCTGCCCCTCTCAGGGAGATGTGTGGCTATGTCTGGAGGCCATTTTTATTGTCACACCTGGTGAGGACAGCACCCCAGGCAGCTAGTGAGGGATGTTGCTAACTACCCAACACAACGCAGGACAGGACAGCCTCCTACAACCCAGACTTACCAAGTTCAAACATCAAGGCCAACCTCGAGGCAGCTCAACCAAGGGAGAAGTGAGAGGGCCTAGAGGGGTTCACACAGGGAAGTGCTGCAGCCCCCCTGGGTCGCCGCCCTTGCCTGGCTGCACTCACACAGGAGGGTCTAAGAGCCACAGAGAGCCTCACCTGGACCATCTGATGTTCACGCCTTCCCCTGCCACCACGCAGAGCAGCCTGGCCGTGTCCCCCTCCGGCACGGTCACAGTGTGGGGCAGCCCTGTGATGGTCAGCTCTCCTGGAGGAGGGAGCGATGTCAGCCGCTATGCCAGTCCCCCCGGCCTGTGCCCCCCACCGCAGAGGGCCCACTTCTGCTTAGAACTTACCCAGGACTCTGAGCTGGACCCAACGCTGGTCTCGGTCCTGCCCGTTGAAAGCAACACACGTGTAGAAGCCGCCATCTTCCACGGCTACGTGGCTGATGACCAGAGAGCCATCAGGCCGCAGGTGGTACCTGGGGACACATGCAGTCGGCTGGCTCCAGCCCACGGGGGCACCAGAGGACCAGCTCGTGATCCCCCCGCCTCTCCCCAGTGCCAGGCTGAGCAGGCCACACCCCTCCACTGGGGTCTGGTCAGGGGTCTGTCTGCCTTGGGCCATCATACCCTCTTTTCATCTACTAGCTCAGCTTTTGAGCCAACCAACAGACAAATAATTTCAAATGTTCCAATCAAAACTCTGGTTTGGGATTCTAGTTTTTGCTTTGCTTATGCTGTAGACACAAATTCTGGTTCTGCCACTTGGGAGCTGAATGGTTGGTGTTCAGCCCTCTTGCCAAATGGGGTTAAAATAAAGCCTGCTGGCATCTGCTGCCCCGCAGGTTATACAATAGAGGACATGTTCTCAGTGTTAGCTCTTGGGCCCCAAGTTAGAAATGGGCTCTGGTTCTACTTCCTCCCTCAGCCAGCACCTGGACACCCGTCTGGGACTGCAGGTCACTGACCACACATGCTCTCGGAAAGCCCAGGGACACAAAAGCTGCTCCAGGAGCCCCAAGTCCAGCAGCTTCCACGCCCAGGGCCACCCAGCAGGCGGGGTGACTGGAGGCTGCACAGAAGGGAGGGGAGAGGAGTAGAGTAGACCTGGGAGGAGAGAGGAGCTGCCCATCTTTCTGCCACTCAATCACGGGGGGCGGGAAGCCTTCCGCACGGCAGGTCAACCGGATCTGCTGGCCTGGGCTGGCGTCCACCACCCTAGGCTGGTTCTGGTCCAGGCGAAGCCTATAAACAGACATCCCCTACCGTAAGTGGCCTCCCCATCCCTGACCAGGCTGGGGACTGGACCTCTGTCCAGCTCCCGCCCTGTCTCCCTCTCCAGATTCCTCATCTTCCTACAACCACCCTGTGTCCTGATTATAGCTCTCTGGAGGACATCTAACAGCCATGTCCCCAACAAGCTTCCCCCACTTGCTGACCAGCCCGACACACATCCCCCAACGTCTCCTACTGCTCACCCAGTGCACGCTGGCCTCAAGACCCTCTATGGTCACTTCTGCAACCCCTACAACCCTTCTGTAAACCAAACCCTTCCTCAAGGCCAGCTCCAGCCCCCTCCAGACCTCTCTCCTCCCCTCTGTCCCATTCTCACTTCCCGGGTCACAGCCTGGTGTCCACTGCACCCTCCCCTTCTCTCACCCACCAAAACCGCACTGACCCAGGGTGGGTGAGGCCAAGAGGGGATGGCACTGTTGGGTGGGTACCTGGAAGGAGGCCGTGGGTGTGCCTGGCCCCTGGGATCTCCCCCTCGGCCTTGGGTTGGGTCCTTGGGCTGAGGGAGGTGCCTCGGCTCAGCCTCAGGCAGTACGGGTGTGTCACCTCCTGAGGCAGGGAGGAACAAGGGGTGAGTTGGGAGGAGATGGTGCAGGGATGGGTCAAGAGGCAGGCAGAGGACAAGCAAAGGATGGGGGTCCCAGGGCCAGGCAGTCCCTCCTGGAGTCACCAGCAAGGAGCAGCCTAGCACTTTCACTCCACCCCATGAGGGCCCAATGAGGGGCACCTATGACATGAAGCTGGATCGTCTGGGAGTCACGAGCTGGCCTGGTGCTGCCACAGCTATAGGTGCCAGTGTCCTCTGCTTGAAGGGGGTTGATGATCAGGGAGCCATCAGCCTGCAGCTTGTGCCTGGATTGGGGCAGAGGCTGAGCTCCTGGCTCTGGGCTCTTGGGGCAGCAATGATCCCTGGGCCTCACTCAGGTGTTCTCACCAGGGGCTCCCTCCACTCTCCCTGGGCCTCTCCCCAGTGCTCCCACCAGGGGCTCCCTCCACTCTCCCTGGGCCTTTCCCCAATGCTCCCACCAGGGGCTCCCTCCACTCTCCCTGGGCCTTTCCCCAATGCTCCCACCAGGGGCTCCCTCCACTCTCCCTGGGCCTTTCCCCAGTGCTCCCACCAGGGGCTCCCTCCACTCTCCCTGGGAGACCTGTGGGCTGCTGCTGGGGAAGGACTCACACACACTTACTCACTCACCTGTCAGAAGAGATAGGCCTGCCATCCTTCAGCCACCCCGTATGGGGGTCCAGGGAGGTATCATCTGGGCATAAGAGCCGCACTGAGTGCCCCAGGACAGCCTGCATCAGGGCTGGTTCAGAGCTGGTCAAGCTGATCCTGGAAGAGTGGCACATGAGTGTGACCAGACTAGGGGCCAGCCCTGCAGCCACCACAGCAGGATCAGTGACCATCATGTCACCGGCACTTAGGAGGACACATGGAAGAACCCAAAGGACCCAGGAGTCTGTCCCTGAGGCCCCAGCACCCCCAGCAACCAACCCCAGGCATTTCTGCTTCAACCTGGCACTTCAGCAGTGCGGGTGGGGAAGGCACATAGGGCTTCATGTAGGGAATTAAACACCACGCTTGACCTCTTTGGAATTCAAAGTTCAGGTTGTTTTGTGTTGTTTTTTTTTTATTTTTATTTTATTATTTTTGTATGAATGTACCGTCAAATCAGACCTGACTGGTGGTACAAGAGGAGATTGTCCCCCCTTCCCCGGCAGAGCATTTGGTGGATTCTAACCGTGCACCTCTGGGACTGTAGTTGCAGCTCCTTACCACTAGGCCACCAGAGCTCCCCTAAAGTTCAGGTTTTTTAAATTTTATTTTTAATCTGCCCAGATCCTTCATGTGACATCCTCTCAAGATTCACAATGGATCAGCCTCCCACTGAACCTGTATACTCTGCAGGGCAGGAAACCCCGTCACCGTGTAAGCAGAGAGGAGCGAAGGCTCTGAGGGGTGGGCCGGCCGGCTTGCCTCGCACACAGCATGCACAAGCCAGAGGGGCCCCAGGTGCAGGGGGAGACAGTGCAGTGGCGCGTCCTGGTCCCACCACCTGATAGGCACCTGGCCTGGCACAAATCTGGTCTCCAAGGCCTCAACAGGGTTGCTGGAAGCTAGAGATTAGGGAGGGAGAAGCTGGCCCCTGGGGCTTCAGCTCATACAAGCCCAGCCTCCTACCTGGGGCAGGTGGGCCTCACCTGTACGAGGAGCTTCCAGAGGGCAGGGCCGGCTGCCTGGCATCCCCGCCCAGGCCAGAGCCACTGGGGCTGTGTTCCTGGCTGCGGGCAGCCTCCCCCAGCCCAGTCTCTTGGTCCTGCCACCAGAGGCTGCTCGAAGGCCCGGGCCTCCTCTGGGCTGTGGCCTCCAGGCTGTGCTGGCCGGGCTCATGCTGGCCTCCAGGATCCCCATGGTGGTGGGTGCTCGGGACGGAGGCTTCAGGCTGGAGTCCGTGGCAGCTGCTCATGCACTCCTCCTCCGAGGCGAAGTTATTGGCATTGCCATGACAGCCACCGTACCAGAAGCGGTTACACCGGCCCACGGAGGGGATGAAGTACCAGCGGGCAGCCCAGTCGGCACAGGAGCCAAGGGCACTGGGCAGCAGGCAGCGCACGGGGAAGGCTGGGGGTAAGAAGGACTCCAGTCACAAGATGTGAAATAAGAAAGCGACCAGTACTGTCCCTTGGAGCCCTGCTCCGGAGCTCCCCCACCTCACAGCCTCAGCACTTAACAGCTGACAGGAAAGCACAGTGGTCTGCAGCCCAGAGCTGCCTGGGCTGGAGTCACAGCAGCCAGAAATCCCAGCTCACTACTCAGGGTAGCAGCAGTCAAGAAACCAAAACAAGGGCTGCACTGGAGAAATCTGCTGTCAAGGACCTCTCCAAAGTGCTAAAGAGCAATGATATCCATTTAAAGACTAAGGTGCACCTGATCCAGGCCATGGATTTTCAATTCATATGCATCTGGAAGCTGAATACTAAATAAGGATGACAGAAGAATTGATGCTTTTGCATTATGGCGTTGAAGAAGAATACTGAATATCTCATGGACTGCCCAAAGAACAAACAAGTCTGTCTTGGAGCAAATGAAACCAGAGTGCTTCTTAGAGAAAAGGATGGTGAAACTTCATCTCACATCTTTGGAAAAGGACACCATGCTGGAAGAGTGGAGAGTCAGAGAAAGAGAGGAAGGCCCTCAACAAGATGGAATAACACAGTGATTGTTGCAATGAGCATACTGGAGGTTGTGAGGATGTGAGAGGATAGGACACAGGTGGATCTGTCATCCATAGGGTCACTCTGAGCCACAGTCGCCTCAATGGCATCTAACACCACCTCCACCAGATGGCCTGACGCAGAGCCCCTGGTGTACCCTGAGCAAACCTGGGTGTGAGTCTGAAGTGCTTACCCAGCGCAGGGTGAGGCGGCCTAAGGAGGTGCCCAGCAGGTGCCCCTGCTCCCAGGCCCTCACAGTGGTCCCTGAATCCAGGTCAGTCCTGCCAGTCTGTCAGCCAAGCTCCCAGCACTCCCTGCGAGAACTCTCACTCCAGACCTGATAGCTGGTCAGAGCTCAACACCAGTCAACCGGTGTTAAGTTGGCCTCCTGAAGAACCTGAGCTCCAGGCAACTTCTGACAATCTCGCCCTTGGTGTCAGCAGGTCCCCATGTCCCCTGCCCTCTAGCCTGCGACCACCCCCAGTCCCATCTCCCTAAAAAGCACAGCCTCCACTGTCAACTGCATCCCAGCCAAGTCAGGACATCTTCCCCATCCAGGCACTGGAGGCCCTGAGCTGACTTTGGAGGGGCCAGTCACTGGAGGAGCTTAGGTCCCAGAGCCAGGATAGGTGTCCTTCCCCCAGGACCCACCCTCAGCCTCTCGCTGTCTGCTAGGAAGGCCTGGGGCATGTGTTCAGATGGTGAACAGTAAATCAAGGTCCTGGCCTGGTCCAAACATAATTGTGGAAGACATGAAAACAGACATGAATGCAGAACTGAGCCAGGAGGGAAGTGCTGGGCTTTGTGTTGGGGCTGGTGGCACAGAGGCCCAGGATGTAGGGGTGTCCACTCACCATAGCTGGGCTTCCCCACACAGCCTTCCCCAAGAGGACCTGCTGCAGAAGCCACATTGTCATAGCAGCAGCCGAACTGGGTGCCCCGGCACTCGCTGGGCTGGCTCTGCTGGGCCTGGGGCTGGTGAGCCTGGGAGACCTAGGGAGGAAGCCCACCTAGGAAGTTGGGAAGAGTACCAAGCTCTCTGTGGGGGCTCTGTGCTGGCTTGTGGGGGGAGGGTGGCAGGAAGGACAGAGTGAGAGCACAGCATGTATGCCCCCACCCAGAGCCCATACTAGCCCTGAAGGCCCTGGGCTCAGAGGGATACCTAGGTAGGTGGCCTGCAGGGCCCTCCCTTCTCAAAGGCCAATGCTTTGAAGACCTTGGATCACAGTAACCTTGCGCAGGTTCAGGGCTGGACCTCTGCCCCCCCCCCACATGCATATGCAAACACACACACACACACACACACACACACACTCTTAAATTAGACACTTACCATGGAAGCTGATGCTCTCGACCCCGGCCTGTTCCGTGTGTTGTCACTACCCTGTGACCTTGCACAGCCAGCCTGGTGGGGCCCCTGGGCCACAGACACCCCGTCGGGGCAGCACCCATACCTAGAAGAAATCATCACGTTAAGCACTCCCTCCCTCATCCTGTGCTCATCCCTGAGCCACCAGCACCCAGGATGCAGGTTCTGAGACTCCCCAGACTGGAGACTGAGCAGGTCTGGATCCCAGGGGGAGAGCAAGGGTGTACAATAGACAGACAGCAGCTCTGATACCAGCAGGTCCTCGACTCACATCACCCCCACAAGCAAGCAGGGACAAGTGCATGGGGCCCAAGTACTAGTGTCCAGGGTTCTCACAAACTAGCAGCAGATGGGAAGTGGGCAGAAAAGGGGGTTCAGAGGACTCATCATTTATTTCTCCTCCCCCCAGGTAGGGTGTAGGAAGGAATATCAAAGCAAGGGACAGGTGATAATTTAATCCTTACCATAACCCATCCCAAGGCTGCCACTGGCCCCAGTGCACAGAACAGAGAGTCAAGATCAGAGAGGTTAAGTAATTTTCCTAGGTCACCCAGCACAGCTGAGCTCAGAATCACCCCAAGCTGCTGCCCCAAAGCGGGGGGCCCTGAGCACCACAGCCCCTGGAGGAGCAGGCGCCTGCTGGGCAGGGTATCTGGAGAGACAGGGGTTTGGAGGCTCAGCCCCCCTCTGCTGGAATGGTCAGGTTTGAGAAACAAAGGAAAGTTGGGCTGGTCTTTGCCCAACCTTTCTGTTGAGTCCCTGGCCTGGAGGTAGATCTGAGAGCTGGAATCATCTGGTCACACTGACCCAAGATGACAGAGATTTCATCCCCGCCAGGCACACTAGTGGGAACTCTGGTGTCCTAGTGGTAAGAATCTGTACTACCAACACAAAGGAGCAGGTTCAAATCCACCAGCTGCTCTGTGGGAGAAGAATGGGCAACTTCCCCTCATGCGATTACTGCCTCTGAAAACCCACTGTGAAGAACTGGAGGGTCAGCTATGAGTTGGTTCTGACTTGATGGCACACAACAACAATGCACGCTACAACTGACCAGCTGGAGGGTGAGCTATGAGTTGGTTCAAGGGCACACAACAACAACAACAATGCACGCAAGAGGGAGTGCTACAGGATTCGTGGTAAGAAACTGTGCTACCAACAAGAAGGTATGTGGTTCGAATCCACCAGTCGCTCCACCAGGAAATCCACTAGGCAATTTACTGCCTCTGAAAACCCATTGGGGGGTCAACTATGAGTCAATTCCAACAGTACACAAGAACAACTGGGACATGAGGTTGGCAGATCAAACCCACCAAGCGCAACCTCAGAACACAGGACTGGTGGCGCCCCTCCAACATCAACTACCTACTGCAGCTGTTGTTAGCTATGGGGTTCAGTTCCTCCTCGTGGTCACCCGAGGAGAACCACTCCATCAGGGTTTGAAGTCTGTGGCCTTCTGGAAGGCTTCTAAGTGGCTGATGTTTCGGAGTAGATCACCAGGCTTCCTCCCCCCCTTTTTCTCCCCTGAACTGCCTCCTGGTGAACTGGAACTCATAACAGTTCTTAATGAGGTGTACCAACAGATAGCAGAGAACACAGGCTGATGCTGGAACACACTGGGGGTCCCTGTGAGTCAAGGGTCCACGTGATAGCAACTAACGTGCCTCGGGAAGCTCAGAGAGTGAGTGGCCACCATTTCACAATTAGAAGGGTTCAGAGACAAGAGTCCAGCGTCCAGTTCCTGAACCTGGCGAGCCCAGCCCCCGCAGACCCCTCGGAGCAGCCCCCCCACCGCTGCCTGGCTCAGGCACAGCCCTGCCCTCCCTGACCCAGGACAGAGACTAGTCCTTCCTGACCCAGGACGGAAACGCTGTCTCCAGCACCTACCTGCTCTGCTGACATGCGACCCCGACCCCGGGGCAGCCTTCCCAGTGAGGTCCTCGAGAAGCTGTGTGACCATCGGGGCAGCAACCGTGGGGGCTGTGCCTGCAGTCCTGGGGCCCTGAGCCCCACCTTGGAGGCTGCTGGTATGTGGACTGCTGCAGAGATGGGGCTGGGCCCGGGGCTGACATATGGGAACCCTGGTCTCCTCTCGGGTCACTCCAGGCTGATGGTTGCCCCTGGGGTATCCACCACTGCCCTCTGAAGTCTAGAGAGGAAGACTCAGAAGATTCACAGATATGTCTCCTTTCTCACTCACCAGCTGTTCCCCATGAGCCCCCGTATCCGTCCCCTGGATCACTCCCCTCTCAGTCATCACTGGGTCCCCACCCTTGACCTCCACTCCTAGATAAAGCCCCCTTACACACACACAGATGGCAGGGGGAGGAGGGGCTGTGACCAAGCTGCTCACCTGAGATGGGGGACTCCTGAGTGCCCAAAGACATCCTGGGGTCCCTGGGGCTGGTGCGCATGCCCTGTGTGCTGGGAACCTCTACAGCGAGCCAGAGGGGGTGGGTAGGAGAGGAGGAAGTTGGGGACACCAGGGGTGGCCAGTTCTGGATAACATTTCCCTCACCCCACTAATCTGGCAGGCCAGGATGTCCCGGACAGCTCTGGACAGCATTTCCCTCACCCCATTAATTAGGCAGGCCAGGGGCGCCCCCGGACAGCAGAAATGGCCTCATCCAATACCCTCTCCACATGTGCGAATCTCTCTCTCTGACCGCCTACAAAATGCTAATGTTATATATTCACAGGGTTGAAAAGGAGCCAGGTCTGAAATGAGTTTTTATGGTAGGACTACAATTATCAAACAAAAATCAACGCACAAGTTTAGAACTGGATTGATGGAAGAATGGATGGAGACTTGATAATAATCAAAGCAAACACAGCAGAACCCTAACTACAGAATTTAGATGTGGGCTGGGGCTGCTGACTGCAGAATTATCTGAGCTTTTCTGGATGTTTTAATACATTCATCATCTTGTTGCACAACTTGTAAATTTGCTAAAATAACCCAACCAACTGTGCAGTTAAAATGTGTAAATTTCACCGTGTACAAATGGCAGCTCTATAAAGTTAAGACCTTTTTTTTAATCACAAAATGTTAGAGAAAATTGGGACAACAGGATTTTTTTTTTTTAGTGACACATGAAAAACGACAGGCAGGAAATGTCTGTGCTTCATTTTTCCTACAGTATGCATATTATTATTTAATAAAGTTATGAAGAACAACCAGCAGAGAATAAAATAGATGAACAGGACCTTCTAAGAATCAAATCCCTGTGCACATCCAAAAACCTTTCCAACAGGGTAAAAAGGAAAGCCACAGACTGAGGAAAAAATATTTGGTAATGACATGCCTGATAAGGGAGTTATATCTCAAATTTATAAAATACTCGAAAAAAATTAAAAAAAAATACTTGAACACCACAACAAGATAAACAACCAAGTCACTAAATGGACACAGGATATGACCAGATACTTCACCAAAGAAGACATTCAGATAGTGAACAAACACATGAAAAAAATGTTCAAAACTCCTAGCTCTAAGAGAGATGAAAATCAAAACAACTATGAAATATCATCTCACCCCAGTAACAACAGCAAAGTTCAACAGAGCAGCAAACAACAAATACTGATGAGGCTGTGGAGAAGCTGGAACCCTTATTCACTGTTGGTGGAGTGTAAAATGGTGCAACCACTATGGAAGGCAGCATGGTGCTTTCTCAAAAAGTTGGAAACAGAAACACCACTTGACCCAGCAATTTCACTATGGGAATACATCCTAAAGAAACCATAACTGCCACCCAAACAGATATATGCACAATCATGTTTATCGCTGTGTTGTTCACAAGAGCAAAGAGATGGAAGCAATCCAAGTGCCCATCAACAAATGAATGAATAGAAAAGCTGCGGATGAATAGAAAAGCTGCGGTATACTCACACAGTGGAATACTACCATAGCATGAAAAATTAGGAACTCATGAAATATTCTAAAAAATGGGTGACCCTGAAGGACATTATGCCAAGTGAAATATCTCAATCATAGAAGGGCAAATACTGCATAATACCACTGTTATAGAACAGGACTGGCATGAGGGTTGGGAGGAAACTGAGAAAAGAGGGGATAAATAATGAACACTCCATTTAAATCGATGAGGGAAAGAACTATCTAAAAGAAATATATGATTAGGTATTATTTGCATAACAACAGTCCAGAATAAGAAATGCCTAGCAAAATGGACTGGGGGTGGGAGAGAGGGAGGAAATTGTGCAAGGGTGAAAGAATCTTTTTAAAGAGAAAAGCGAACTGGGGGTGATAGGGAGGAAAATGTACAAAAATGAATGAATGGAAATTCAAGTTTTCTGTAAACTTTCATTAAAATATCAAAAGTAATTTTTGAAAATTTTTAAAAAATAAAATTTCAGGGGGAGGGGTGGGCAGGGAGAAAAATGCAACAATGAATGAATGGAAATCCAAATCCTCTGTAAATTTTCATTAAAATTAATAAAAACATGATAAAAAAATGTTACAAAGAACAAAATCCATGAACATCCCATTTCAACTTGACTTACATGGTCCCAGGAAATATTTTTAAATCATCACCTTGGGTCAGAAGATGAAGGATATAGGGGTCAAATCTTGGCTTTTGTCCAATCTCTATCACACCCAGGCCAAAACCCGAAGGGGGCAGATTGCTATTCTTTCCCCAGACCTGCCATGCCCCAGACAGAAATCCACATCTCTCCCCTACACTCACAGAGCCCAGGTGGGGGCTTTCTGCCTGGCCATCTCTGTCACCTCAAATTTAAAGTGTTGAAAGCCAGAGGCATTGTTCTGCCAAGCCCAGCCTGCCTTCTGGCTTCTTCCAGGTCCTCAGAGTCCCAAAGTCCCATCCCACCTACCGGGCACAATCTCTGATGGACCAGCACCAGTCCCTTCCTTTCCATTGCCCTTCTGAGCACCTGGATCCGGCAGCCTGCCCCTCACCAGGCTCCCGCCTCCCATCTGTGTACACTTCAGTTCACCCCTGTGCGTGTGCCACTCTTGTCCTCTTAAATAGCTTCCATGCTGTCACTCTGAAGCTGTGGGCTTTTCAATGGTTCTTCTACACCAGTGAGATAAAGGTAGCCTGTAGGCTTATGGCTGAGACCTTCCACACACAACCCAGCCATCAGGACAACCTACCTAGAGAGACGTCCTTTCAGCCCCAATCCCTGGGCTGAGGGCTGAGTCTGAGGGTCACTACTGGTCCCCAGAGCTACTAAGTTGCTTCAAATGTGGCTACCATAACCTAGGAAACGAGCCTTAAATTTTACATGATGATAATTAACAAAACTTTAAATCTTAGACACTTGATTTTTTAAAAATAAAACAAACAAACAAAAAAACCAAACTAAACCAAAACATATAAACCTGAAGAAATGATGAAAGTCACTCACGCAATTGTCGAGGACTATAGAGAGACACCAGTTGGCCTAGTGGATCAAAAGTGATGCTACTAAGCCAAAGGTGGGTGACTCTAATCTGTGGCCCTAAGGCCTGTTTTAAATTGTTGTTGGTCAAGCATTCTGCTAGGTTGTAAAGCCCTAGTTTGTGTCCATATGCCGTTCAGAGGTAACTTGTGCTCGCTGTGAAGCTGAACACTGTGACACTGATGTGTCAAATGCGATAACAGTTACCCATGGTGGACAGTGTTTGGTGGTGCTCCCCGGTTAAAACAAGCTTGGGAGCAGGAGTGGCATCCACTTCTGTAAATAGCTTGCCTCCAGAAAAACCTATGAACCTGGAAAAAGGATAAAGTCACACACGCAAGTGTCGAGGACTTTCATTCATACAGTCGCTATGAGTCACCTACGACTCGACAGCAGTGAACAACAACAACAAACCAAAACATGTCTGAAAAACTTCTTCCGAAAGTCCATTTTATGAAATCTAAATAAAGATCGGGTGCTCTAGTGGCGAAGGTAAGGAATTATGCTGCCAAACAAGGGTGCATGGTTCTAATTCACCAACGCCTCTGAAAACCCACTGGAGAGTCAGCAATGAATCAATTCTGAATCAACAGCTCTTAACAATAACAACAACAAATATAGATGAAGTATTTCAATGAAAATAAAGCACCCAAAAAGAGATGTGCTGGAAGTATAACTATACCTGGGATTTCGTACACACAGAACATGTTTTACATTTACTACATGTTGAAACACTTTGAATATATTGGGCTAAATAAAGTACTCTGAATATATTGGGTTATGAGTCGTCTATGACTCAACAGCACCAAACAACAACAACAATGAGAAAGCTCTGTTGGCCTAGTGGATAGAAAGTTATACTACCAAGCCAAAGGTGGGTGATTTTAATCTGTGGCCTTTAGGCCTGGTTTTAATTGTTTTTGGTCATTCTTCTACATGGTATAGTGCTGGTCTGTCCATTTGCTGTACAGAGGTAACTCGTGGTTGCTGTGAAGCTGAACACTGTGACACTAATGTGTCAAATGTGATAATGGTTACCCATAGTAGACAGTGTTTGGTGGAGCTCCCCAATTAAAACAAGCTTGGAAACAGGAGTGGTATCCACTTCCAAAATAGCTTGCCTCTGGAAATTCTATGAACGTGAAGAAATGATGAAAGTTATACAAGTATTCAGGTCTTTGGTTCGTAGGGTTGCTATGAGTTGTCTACAACTCGACCCCACCTAACAACAACAACAAAGTACATTATTACAATACAAATGTCTCCCTACTTTTTCTATGACTAAAGGGCCTCCTGGCATAGTGGAGAAGATTTAACGGCTATCTGGTAGGGAGTGGTGGGAACCTGGGAGCCCTTTGATGGGAGAAAGCAGTGACCATCAGCTTCCACAGGATTACAGCCTGGAAACACGACACAGCAGTTCTACTCTGTGCTGTAGGTTCACTATTGATTCACAGCCACGGGCTTCTTTATTCGGGCTTTTGTGGCTACTAGAAAATGTAACGTGGTTCATGGTTTGTTTTTACTGGCGGGTCTTGGGAAGGGGAAGCAGACATGTGTTTGCTCCCCAGCCCACCTCTCAGTGTGCCTCCTCGTCAGGCCCCTGCACCCCAGACCACTCAGCCACCATTCATGAGACTGTACTGCAACATCACAGTACGAAACTCCAGACCACTCAAGTGCATCATCCAAATCGCACACAAATTATGCCCCATCACGGGCCTGTGCAGGCCTCTTAAATTCATAAGGCAAGAAAATGCTTCCACACAAAATGGATCGAAGGGACGAGAGACACACAAAAATCACACAATGCAGGGAACTTCAAAATTCCTTCAGGGTTACAACTTTGGGTTTGAATTTGTTCTTCTTCTGCTCTATCAGCTTGGGAAATGCCAAGTGTATTCTTTCCTTTTTTCTAACTCCTGCTTTCTGCACATTTTGTTGTAATACCTTGCTTTGTCTTCTCAAGATACCCTTTGAAAGCTTCTGTTCATCTCTCATACTTCACCATTTCTTCCCTTTGCTTTGAGATTTCTTCATTCTAGAGCAATTTTCAGAGTCTCTTCTGACATTCATTTTGGTCTTTTCTTTCTCCTCTGCCTTTGTAAAAACCTTGGACGATATCCTTTAGTCATCTCACACCTCTTCTGGTCTTCGGTCATTAGTGTTCAAGTACCTTGAACCTATTCTTGAGATGGTTTTTAAATTCAGGTGGGATAGACTCAAGGTCATCATTTGGTTCTCAAGGACTTGTTTTAATTTTTCATTAATTTGAATCCCTTAGTATTAAGGACTATATAGGCAAAATACTTGATTGATGCAGGAGGCATTAAAAGACAGAATACAGAGTCACCATATCAAAAAGAATTGGTTCCCTCTATAAAACAAGTTTTGAAAAAAAGATGAAAAACATATATATGACAAGAATCAGGAACAATAAAGAGTAAGACACAGGAAAAAAATTTGTTGACATGGAATCATTTCAGAAATTAGCATATGATCAAAACCCAGTAATATTTAAGGAAGACATCCAAGGTACACTGAAGGCATTGGCAAAAAATAAGGCTTCGGGAATTGATGGAATACCTATTGAAGTGTTTCAACAACCAGATGCAGTCCTACACGTGCTCACCATTTTATGACAAGAAACTTGAAAGACACTTCTGGCCATCTGCCTGGAAGAAATCCATATTTGTTTTTATTTTATTAAAAGAAGGTGATCCAAGGGAGCTCTGGTGGACTAGTGGCAAGGAGCTGCACTGCAATCCTAAAGGCACGTGGTTCAAGTCCACCAAATGCTCCGCTGGAGGAGGGGCAATCTCTTCCAGTACCAATCAGATCAGATTTTACAGTAAACACACACAAAATAATAAAATAAAAAATAATTTTTTTTAAAAAAGGTGATCCAACAGTGTAGAAAAGATCGAACAATATCATAAATATTACACACAAGTTAAATCTTGCTGAAGATTGTTTAAAAATGACCATAACAGTACATTGACAGGGAACTGACAGAAATTCAAGCTGGATTCAGGAGAGACTACAGAACAGGGATATCACTGCTGATGTCAGCTGGATCTTGGCTCAAAGCGCAGAGTACCAGAAAGATGTTTATCTGTATTTTATTAACTAGGCAAAGGCATTTGGATCATATCAAGTTATAGACAACATTGAGGAGAATGGCGATCTCAGAACACTTAAATGTGCTCATGTAAAACCTGCACCCAGATCAAGATGCTGTTGTCCAAACAGAACAAAAGGACACTGCATGGTTTTAAGTCAGGAAAGGTGTGCATCAGGATTGTATCTTCTCTCCATATCTATTCAACTTGTATGTTGAGCAAGTAATTTGAAAAGCTACACAATATGAAGAAGAATGAGACATGGGGATTGGAAGAAGACTCATCAACACCTGCCTTATATAGATGATACAACTTTGCTTACAGAAAGAGAAGACCTGAAGCACTTGCACAAAATCCAAGACCTCAGCCTTCAATATGGGTTACTTTTCAACACCAAGAAAATCCTCACCACAGGACCATTAGGCAACGTCACGATAGATGGGGAAACGACTGAAGGGGTCAGCAATTTCATTTTACCTGGACTCAAAATCATCAGCCTTGGGAGCAACAGTCAAAAAAGAAAAAGGCATGCTGCATTGAGAAATCTACTGTCGAGGACCTCTCCAAAATGCTGAAGAACAATGACATCAGTTTAAAGACTAAGATGCACCTGATCCAAGCCACGGCATTTTCAATTGCTTCCCACGCATTGGAAAGTTGGACAATGAGTAAGGACGACAAAAGAATCATGGTGTTGGCAAGGAACATCCCATGGACTGTCGAAAGAACAAGTCTGTTGTGGAGGATGTGCAAATCAACGTGCTCTTTACAGGAAAGACTGGTGAAACTTGGTCTCATATCCTTTGGAAATGTTATCAGAAGGGTCCAGTCCTTGGAAAAAGACACCATGCTGGGAAGGGTGGAGGGTCAGAGAAAGAGAGGAAGACCCTCAACGGTATGGAATGACACAGTGACCGTAACAGTAGCCTCGAGCACATCAGAGATCTAGAGGCTGGTGCAGAAGGCAGGGTTCAGGTCATTGGTCTTAGGGTAATGGGAGTCAGTGGTCAGCCCGGCAGCACCTAACAACAACCTTCACTGAACCATGTAGGGTTCTCGAGCCTGTGATCTTCACAGAAGCTGGCTGGTCACCTCTATCTCTAATGGAGCAACTGGTAGATTCAAACCACTGACCTTTTGGTTAGCAGCTGAGCATTTAAACCACTGTGCTAACATGTCTCCATTTTACATTATTTCCTCTAATTTTACATACTCAAAATTTTAATTTTATTATTTTATATACTCAAAATTTCTCATAATGAATATAATGTTTTTTATAATAACAGCGACAAATAGAATTCATCCTGGTTTGAATGTTACTCTCCTGTCTTGCCTTTTGACCTGTATGAATGCTATTTGTCTCTGGTTTAGGTTCAAGGTCATCTGTGCCAACAAGGCATTCTCTCGAGCCCCAGGGAGCTGTACAGCTCCATGCAGAGCTGGACCCCTGGGATCCCCAAAGCCAACCCTAGGCTGAGGCATTCCTGCTGCCAGTGGCTGAAGGACCCTGGTCAGGGACCTCCTAGGTGGTCCTTAACGGCCAGTGCTCCCATCTCCCCTCACCACCATTATCTATCCCTAGTTCACCTAGCAAGCACCTCATGGGCTCAGGCACTGTGCACTGTGATCACCGCAAGCCTAGAAAATCAATCCTACTAACCTCATAAGTCATATGGGGGAAAGGGAGCTCTGGCAGCCTCGTGGTAAGGAGCTGCACTGCAATCCCAAAGGCGCATGGTCTGAATCCACCAGCTGCTCTGCTGGAGGAAGACAGACGAGCAATCTCCTGTAAAATTAACTGTCTCTGAAAACCCACTGGAGTGTCAGCTATGGGTTAGTTCCAACTTAACAACACATATCAACAACAGAAGCAGAAAGGAGAGAGGCGTGCCCAGGGCCGTATGGAGGCCCAGCAATGCAGCAGAGACTTGAACCCAGCTTACTGTTGACCCCAAGGTCATTCATCCATTCTAATAGCCACAGGATGCCTGGGTTCAGTTATTAGCGCCTTCCAGTTCCCCCTACAAGGTCCACACTGCTCACACAGTCCCCATGACCAAATGCTCCAAAGCACCTCTCTTTGATGTAGACAGTCACCTTCATCACCCTGTCAGCTCAGCTACAAACCACACCCTCCCTTAATGTCATAGCCTCAAACCAAGCAAGGCCTGACGTCCTGTCCTTCCTGCTACATATCCTCATGCCTAGGACACCCAGTGGGACGGGAACGAAGGGATGACAGGTTAAAGCATGGCAATAATCTCTCCAGGACGGCCTCCCTCCCTCTGCCATCACTCAGTCAGTCAACAGGCATGCTGAGCATCTTCTGCATGCTACATAGTGTTTAGAACATTAGACCTGTGGGAAGCACAAAAAAGGAATCAGGAAGACTAGACCCTGCCTTCAATAAGCTTATAGCTAGCAAGCTCCGCAAATCACTGCAGTGCCATAAATATGGGTGTGATACAGGAAATCCCTGACCTAGGATGTATCTGAGTTACAAAGAACCACACTTAGAATTGTCTGGACATTTCTGTACACCTTATTATTAACAACAGGTATTATACACAGTATTCCTGTGTGTAATGTGCTGATGCCATCATATCTATAAGTTTATATGTCATGTTTCTAATCCCCTAAGACAAGTAAAAGCTCAGGCATCTGGGTCCATTGGGTGTTTCACTGTTAACACAATGGCTGCCCTCTCTGGTGGCCCGGACCCACCATCAGCTCCATAAGAGAAAGATGGGCAAACTCTCCCGCGTGCAATTTACAGCCTCAGCACCTAAAGAGGGGTTAGCTATGAGTCAGTTCTGACTTATGCATTACTGGTAATACATTTGATTTTGAAGGCAAAAATCAAATTTATAAAAATACTAACAGTAAAAGGTGATGAAGATAATACAACAAATAAACAGAAGAGGGAGTTATTCCATTTAGACCAGACCTTGCTGAGGATGAAGCTGTCAGGACAGAACGTGGCTGGGAGGAGGGGACTGCCTGCATTATAACACGCTGGCAGGAGGCTGAGGACCAGAGGGAAGCTGCCACTTGCAAATGCAGGGGACCAGGGCTGACACAAGAGGTGGCATCCACACTGGACTTCATGGGGGCTGAAAACCACAGTCAGCGGAGACTCACTGCACAGCCCCAGGCCCGGAGCAGGAAGGGGTTTGCAGAGGGAGGGGAAGCGGTGTGGCTGGGCCTGCCCCGCCTCTCCTGTCCTCACCTTGAGGAAGATGGCAGGGCTGTGTGTTGCAGAGCTCCGTGTCCACTGGCTTCAACGGCTGCAGGCGCTCGCATTGGCTGGGCAGCTCGATGGCACAGATGACCTGTCGCTTCCGAGTGCCCGAGTTACAACTCTTGGAGCACTGAGGGCCATGGGGTGGGGTGAGGGTGGAGAGGAAAAAATACACACAGGGAAAGAGCCTCTGAGACTGGGGCAGGAGCCCCCACAAGGCAGGCAAGAAGGGGAGAGTGGACTCAGACTCACAGAGGGGCATGACTCAAGCTGGACATCAGCTATGCAGGGTGGCAGTACTCACCAGACCCCAGGCACCAACATGCCAGGCCTGGTCACCGAGGGGGGGACAGTCGTCACGCATGCAGGGCTCTGTGAACATCGGCCGGTCTTCCTCAGAGCACGCGGTGGCAAGGAGCATAGACCCCTCCTCACTACGGCAGGTGACAGTCCGCCTCCGGACTCCAGAGCCACAGGTGACCGAGCACTGTGAGGACCCAGCGGCCAGTCAGAGCTTGCATCCCACCCTGGGGAGCTACAGTGGGACTGGCCAGGCGTGAAGGGTGAGCAGCGACCTGCAGCCTATGTCCAGCTCCCAGGCCCAGAGAGGCTGAGGAAGTCCACTGAGGTCACACGGCCTGAGCCATGACACCTGATATTCACGTGAGTACATTTCCACATCCTTTCATCTGCATGCTGAGCGATATGGTTCCCAGAACATAACAACAACAACAACATGGGGGCCAGAAGCAGTGAGCAACAGTCCTTCACACTGCCTGCCCTCATCCTGCCTTCTCAGGCAATGTTTGTAGCTTCTCCCCCAAGCCAAGGCAGAACCCGTCCTATCCCACCAGCGGGTCCTAGAGAAGGAAGAGGAGCAGGGCACTAGGAGCCTTAGCCTTGCCCCAGCTTCCAGGCCGGCCTGCTAAGTCACTTGGCCTCTCAGCATCTGCTTCCACGAGGTGGGAGAGCCTCCCAGCCCTCAGGCAGCCCACATCCAAACCCCAGCTCCTGGTTTGCTGCTCAGCACCCGCCCCAGCCTGGCTGTCAGTACCTCACCTCTCCCCAGGGCTCTGCGTGCCAGGCCGAGCAGCGCTGGAGGTTGCATGCTCGCATGGTGGGGGGCTTCCCGGGCAGGCCTGCACACTCCGCCTCGTCCGCAGCCTCCTCGGTGCCTGACCCCAAAGCTGAGACGCAGTAGACGGAGCGGGACTGGGAGCCACCTCCGCAGGAGACCGAGCAGGGCGACCACGGCCCTGTCTGCCAGCTGGTGGGAGTGGGGATCAGTGAGGCGGGTCCAGGAGCAGCGGCCAGAGCCCAGCTCGACAAAGGGTCACACACAGGAGTGGATCCTCTGAACACTCAAGTCCATGCAGATAGGTGACAAAGAGCCTGGACAGTGAGGTTCCACCAGACCCTCCACTGTGCAGGCCCTCCTGGGCCTGTTCTCACCCGGTCTCCCCTCATTCCCGAGACTCCATTCTCTCTGGGTCTGATCTTTGACATGAGCATGCCCCAGAAGCTGGGCTCACCATACAGGGAGCAGGCCGGCCTGGAGGGGATCCACAGATGACAGAAAAGGGCATGCAAAGCCAGACCCGCCACCATCGCACAAGGCTAGCTGCCAACAAGGCTCATAGGCAGAAGGGCCCCAGGCCCATGAGACCGAAGGCTGCAGGTTACCTGTTCCCACACACACGCTGGGCCCCAGCGAGGGGCCATGCTCCGGGCTGGTGCAGGTAAGAGGTCCTTTGTGTGCAAACAAAGGCATTGCCAACGTGGACAGGGGCTCCAGCCAGACCCCTTCCCCACTCCTTGGCCTCTGCTGAGCCAGTTCTCTGCCAGCTAAGACAGCAGCTCCCACCATCTGCCCACACCCTCTGGCCACCAGGCATTTTGAACACGGAGTGGGCACACAACCCCATCCTTAACAAAACCGCACGGGGCTTCACTCAGGCCCTGACACTGAGCTCCCCTTGACACCACTGGGGCGGGGGCGGGGGGGCCCACTCAGCCTCTTGCTTCTGCACCAAAGGCAGCTTAGAAACCCCAAACTTTCCCTCACAAGATCTTGGATCTCTTTGTGGAAGAAGGTGATTGGCAAAGGCCATACCGCTTGGTTTGTGGGCAAGGCTGAGGGTTGCAGGGCTGGCGGTGGGCTGGCCGTGGCTGGTGCTGGCACAGGCGGTCGGGGTAGACCTCATTGTCAGTGGTGCAGAACACCTCACGGGTCTGCTGACCTAGGTGGGGGGTAGGGGCAAAAGGGGGTGCAGTGATCAGCTTCTGTGCCAGACATCATGCTGGACATACCTTTCTTGGGTCCCTGATGACTTACTTTGAGGGGTGAAAATCTTTGCCTTGTCCACATACTCCAAAAACTATACCCCGCCCCCCCAGTCCATGCTCAGAGCGGCAGGGACCCCCCTGGGCAGTCCGAGGCACCTCACCTCCTCCACACTCCACACTACATTCCCCCCAGGATCCGTGGCTCCAGCGGAAGCCGGATCTGGGGACGTTCTGAGGCAGGTGGTACTCGTAGTGCACACCAGGGTTGAGCTCCTGGCTGATAAGCTGTTGGGGGGGGGTCATTGTGCAGGTTGGCTGTCAGTTGCATGTCCCCCGTTCTTCCTCAATGCTTCATCACCATCTTAGACCCTAAGGAACTCAAACCCCCCACAATGGGGCTTGATGGCTTCCCGTGGCATCCCTCTGCCTGCCTCACCTCAATGATAAGGGGCTCTGAAATGGGGCCTCGGGCATGGAGCCGCTCAGGAGCCAGGTCCCCCTCGGTGCCACGCTCGTAGTGCAGGATGGTGCTGGCCATGGGCAGGGCCCCAGCTGCCCCGATGGTCCAGTGCCCATTGAGGTAGTAGTCTCCACGGATGCTCTTCACCGCTGTGCAGGGGTGAAGCAGGCCCTGGTTAGTAGAGGAGAGCGGGGCATGCCAGCTGCCCCCCCCACCGCTGCCCCTACCCCTGCGCTCACCCAAGAAGTTCCTGCTGGCTGCAGCCTCCTCGATGCGGATGCTGGTGGCTCCCATGGGAATGATGAGGATCTGGTTATAGCCTGAGGGAGGCAGGAGCGAGGGTGTGCTGAGCACGCCTTCCTCCCAAGACCACCCAAGTCCGAAGGCAGGCATTCCATTACCCCAAGTACCCCAGTGCCAGGGCTGCACAGACTGGGGTAGCATTCGGGGTACAGAGGAGACAGTGGGCTGAACTGCTGCAGAAACAGCATGTACAGATGTCGGGGGGCCAGAAGGCTTGGGGCTCCCAGCACTGACTGAGGAGTGGATCACTCCACTCAGGATGGGACAGTGGGAAAAGGGATGTGGTCAGAGGGGCTGTTGGGCTCAGGGTCGCCTAGCACTGACTGGGGAGCGGAGGGGGCAGGATAGGACAGTGGGAGGAGGGATGTGGTCAGAGACATCTGAGGTCACAGTCACTGGAGAGATGGGTAAGTAAGAAGTGATCCCAGAAGACGTTTGGCTTCCCCCAGAGTCACCAGGGGGCCAAGTCATAACCTGGGCATCAGCATCACACAAAGGGTACTCGGCCCTGAGGTTCAGCCAGGAGGGCACATGGCAAGGGAGGGACGATGACAGATGCTTGTCTGATTTCTCAGAGGACCCCTCTGCGGAGGTCCCAGCTGTTTCCTTCACTATGACCCACCTCTGCTGAGGTCATTGGCATCAAAAGTGCCTGTGACAGGGTAGCAGGTCGTGCCATCACCCCCACACCGCAGACACTTGTCCTCCTGCTTTGATGAGTCCAGTTTGTGGTCACAGCCAACAGCCTGCCAAGCAAAGAGGAACAGCAGACATGCTCGGCTGGCCTGGCCTAGGCCATCACATGCGGTCCTGGCAGACAAAGATGGTGCACTACTCCTCAGCAAGTGGTGGTCGGTGCATAAAGCACAGACCTGACCCACCTCGCCCTCCACTCGGGACAATTTTGCTTCTCAGAGATGTCACGTGTGTCAGACTAGAGCAGTGCTCCGAGGGATTTTCAGTGGCCGCGCTCCCAGAAGGATCGCCAGGCCCTTTTTCCAAAGTGTTTCTGGAGGACTCAGACCTCCAGTCTCTTGGCTACTGATCATGCATGCCAATCACATGCATCACCCGGGGCTCTCCCTTCTCTGTTGTTGTTATTGTCAAGTGCCATTAAGTCCAATACAACTCATAGTGACCCTATGAACAGCAGATCTGAGCCCTGCCCTATCCCATGCCATCCTCAATCTCTGACGTACTCAAGCCCATTGCTGCCGTCACTGTGTCAACCACCTGATTGAGGGTCTTCCTCTTTTTCGCCATCCCTCCACTTTCCCAAGCATGATGTCCCTATCCAAGGAATAATCTCTCCTAGTAACACGCCCAAACTATGTTCATCATCTTTGCCTCCAAGGACTATTCTGGCTGTGCCTTCTCCAAGACTTATCTACGTGTTCTTTCGGCCGTCCTTGGGATGCTCAGTGCTGTTCTCCAACACCACAGCTCAAAAGCATCAATATCTTCTCTGGTAACATCACCTATTCTCCTTCAGGACCCATCTTGAGCGCATAGCCTAGATGGAGCTCCCCGAACAGTGAGTTGGGGGGTGAATCACACACACCAGAGCCTGGTTCAGGAGGGAGCCTCAAATCAAGCTGACTGAGAGGTATCCCACGTTGCTGGACTTCCTGGGAATGAGGTCCAATTCCCCAAGAGCTGCCAGGCTGGTGCAGGAGAAGCCTGGAAGTCTCCGGTCACCTTCTTGGCTCACAGCAGAGCCAGCCTACACTTGATGCTGACCCAGAAGACAGCAAAGCCAAGAGGAAGCAGAGGTATCTATCCTGCAGCATCCTTCAAGCACGTCAAGTGAGCCAGACCACACATGGGCTTCTCTTGCCTGGGTTGGTTTCAGCTGGGGTTCTATAACATGCCACCCATAGGGGTTTGTTAGGCTCAATGTTGAGGTAGTTTGTGGAGACATCAAGCTGATGACAATCACATGGCCCAGTTGGTCAACCAAGCCACAAATCTGATTGGACAGAGGTGCAGTCTAAGGCCTCCAGTAAAGGTCCAATGTCATGTGCTGGGAGGAAATCAGGACTTCAGAGAGTTCCCTTCCTGACTCTGCTCCCATGAATAATGTCCCATCTCCAAACTAGCCCCTTATCAAACAGACCAGGTGCTGTTCCCGCTCATCTCCCTCCCCCCAAACCCTCCCTAGGCAGTGAGTTTCAGTTCCCAAGAATCACTCAAACATGCAAGTCACATTCTCTCAGGGGACCCAGGGAGCACCCCACCTCTTAATACTACAAAGGCTGCCTCCTACAGCTCCTGGTTCTTCACTCTCTTCCCTAATTCATTCTCCACGTGGCCCTGTGTGGCACGCTGCAGCCTCCTCCCAGAACTCTGAGTATATCCAACTAATAAAACATCCCCTGTTAGACCTCTGTGGCTCCCAGAACAGGGTGTAAAGAGGAGGTTGTTCAAACAGCAGGGGGAGAGCAAGGGGCCTAACTCACACGGCAGATGCCGTCCACACAGACATCCCGTTTGCCAGGCTCACAGGGGGTCCCGTCTATCACCGCCTCCTTGTGCTTGTAGTAGAAGTTCTCCCCCTTGGGGATGCAGTTCAGCTCACACTTGTTTGGGGCTGGGGTGGGAAAGAGAAGATAGAAAGCAAAGGTTCATGAAGGACTGTCCTCAGGTCCCAGAGCACACAAGCAGCTGGGAGAGAATGCCCTTGCACCAGACCTGCGGGGCTCAGGCTCCCAGCTCCATCCCAGGAGAAGGAACATTCTCCACGAAACAGCTGCTTCTCTGGGATTCAAGTGGAAGAAACATTCCAAATAATGGAATAGCTATCCACTTGGGAGAGGTCTACTTCAGCATTGTTTATGATAGCCCAAGTATTAACAGGCTGTTGTTATTGTTGTGTAGTACCGTCAAGTCAGAACTGACCCATAACTGACTCTCTGGTGGGTTTTCAGAGGCAGTTAACCCTCCGGAGGAGACTGCCCATTCTTCTCCCTCAGAGCACCTGGTGGATTTGAACCACATGCCTTTGGGATTGCAGCACAGCTTCTTACCACTAGGCCACTTTAAATTATTATCTATTGGTGGAGTGATATGTATGTAGATGGTGAAGTTAATGATTTGAGGCAATTATTTGGGAAAATTCTTACATCACACAACGCAAAATGGTGGTTGTTGTTAGGTGCCATCAAGTGGATTTTGACTCAGTGACCCTGTGAACAATGGATCAAAACCTTGCACTATCCCACACCATCCTCCCAATCTCCACCAAGTTCAAGTCCATCTTAGCAGTCACTGTGTCAGTCCATCTCCAGGAGGGTTTTCAGGTCCCTGCTGACCCTCCATTAATCCAAGCAAGGACTGGCCGGCCTTCTTCACAACACACCCAAGGATGAGGTCTCCCGAGTTTGCCTCGAGGGAGCACCCTGGCTGCACGCTTCAATTCTCACGAAGCAATTACAAAATGTAAACATGCACACAGAGGAAACCAGGGTTGGAACTAAATGCTCACAGTGGGCCCGTGAAAGAGTGAGAGCAAGGGGATTTTTTTATATTTATCTAAAATTTAGACATAGTTTAAATCTCCTTCAGTGCAATTAACTGCCTCTGAAAACCCACTCGGAGCAAGAAAAGCCACACCCCCACTACTGATTTCAGCCTCTCCCCTCTGTTGTACATACATCATCTATGTAAAATCTCAAAACCAAATGAAGGGGTAAGATGGGAGGCTAAATCTGCATAAATGAGTGAATTAAAAGCCAATTTCTTCATAAATAAAAAGTCACAATAAAAAATATAACTTTTTTTAAAAGTCCAAAACCAAACCCAGTGATGTTGATTGGAGTCTGACTCATCGCGATCCTCCATCCATCTCCAAGGCTGTAAATGTGCACAGGAAGGGAATGGCCATCTTTCCTTTGCCCATTGGCTTGTGGGTTTGAAGTACTGACTTTTAGGGTCACAGTCTGACACCTTACACACCATGCGTCCAGGGCTCCTTACATCTCTTACAATGTAGATATACTTAAATTACTTTCAGCCCATCCCCATCTTGGGAGGTAGGGGCGTGTCCACCAGCCAAGCCCCCCCACTACCATCAGAACACAGAATGGGTTCCTCCACCTCGCATCCAGAGCGCCGGTCTCCCGAGAGACCTTCTGACTCTTATGTATGAATATCTTTTCCCCTTGAACTGTCTCTCTCTAAAGATGAATGACTGACATCCTCCTCAAAGTCAACCTCAAGGCCCCAGGGGTCCAGAGGCCTCTCCCTCTCCCCACCCCTAGCCCCTCCAATTCCGCTCAGAGCTCAAAGGGCTGCAAGGTGAGAAATGCTCCAGACTTTGCCCAACTAAAAGGGACCCCGAAACGGCACATTCACTGGCATGACTTTGTCTGAAATACACACTCATTCACAAAAGAGCCAGAAAGAATCCCAAATGGCATCACTGATTTGACAGAGGCACTGCTGGGGGTGCGGCTGGCCAGCTTATCAAAATTCCCTTTGACAAAGTTTCTGTAATGGGAATTTTGGAATAAAAAAACTGCATAAATGAGATCCCCAAAATACTAGGCCACGCTAGCCACATGCAGAATGGGGGTTCAGGGGTGCCCCACTCACCCCCGTAGTAGGGCAACCACTTGTAGCGCCGACCCTGGAACTCGCTGTCATCAAACTCCGCGCACTGCTGGGCCCGGAAATCTCGGGCGCCCTCAGGGCAGCTCTGTGGGGAACAGAGGTGAAGGGGGTCCCCTCTATGCCTGGGAGGCAGTCCCCCTGGGGTCCCTCTGTGCCACTGCAGGCCGCCTGTCCCTGGGCTGCACTGTGGGGCCGGCCTGGGGCAGGGATTGGGGAGCTGGGTCGCGGTCACCTCGGTGTGGCAGGACCGGTGGCTGCGGGAGGGGCCCACGCAGCTGGAGCCTCCGTCTCCCCTGTGAGATGAGAGTGAGAGTGAGAGGTCAGCCCCCAGCTTCAGAGAGCGACCCCCATGAACCCCGCCCCACCACAGCTCCTGGGTGTGGCTCCAGTGGGCGCACCTGTGCTCACACATAAACACCACCCCCAACCCGGTTGTTAGAGGCCAGCAGATACTCTGACTCAGTGGCTGTATGTATTACAGGACAGAGCAGAACTACTACCAACCCTACCCCTTACCCCCACCCCGTCCCGGAAGTTACACTCTCCACCACAGAGTGGTAGGAAGATGTACCACAATCTCAAAAGGCACGTGGTTTGAATCCAAGAGCTGCTCCACAGACGAGCAGTCTCTTCCCTGATGATTTACGGCCTCTGAAAATCTGCTGGAGGGTCAGCTATGGTTCAGTTCCCATTCGATGGCACACCACAACAAGAAGCCACGGCCCCAAAGTGTATGAGGTGAAGCTTTATCATCTTTGTGTCCATGGTGCACTTTGTACTTTCTCTAAGACATATCCTTACCATTGTTGTTATGAGGCCTTGGAGTAGCTAGTGACTCATAGCGACCCTATCAACAATAGCTTTGAACCCTGTCCTCTCCTGAGCCAATCTTACTCTAACACATCTACCATCCACCCACCCATTGCCACAGTTATTGTGCCAATCCATTTCCTCCTGGATCTTCCTCTCCTGCACTGTCCCTCCACCCTTCCAAGCATGATGTCCCTCTCCAAGGATGAGTCCCTCCTAGCCTTATGTCCAAGGTATGTGACATGCAGCTTCAAAATCCTAGCCTCCAAGGAGCAGCTTGATTTCATCCTCTCCAGGACAGACTTGTTTGTTCTCTTGGCAGTCCGGGGTATGTTCAGTTCTCTTCTCCAGCAACACAACTTAAAGGCATTGATTCTTCCTCTGTCATTGTTGGTCACTGTCCAGATCTCTGATGCATAGCAAGCAATTGTGAAGACCATGACCTGGATAAGGCACACCTTACTCTCTAGACTGACATTGTCGTTCATTCCTTTCTTCCTATCTCTGGTAACCATCCAAAATTAGTTCTGTGTGTAAACCTTTTCTTTTTATAAAATAGTCTAATACTCCTCCTGTGTGATTTACTGGAGGGTCAGCTATGGGTCGATTCTGACACAACAGCACACAATAACAACTGGAGAGAGCCCCAGTGATGCAATGGGTTAGCACTGGGCTGCTCTTGGACAGGTTAGGTGGCTGGAAACCACTAGCAGCCCTGGCTGAGAAAGGCGGAACCAGTGGGCTCCCGGAAAATGTAAACCCATTACCCTCCAATCTGACTCATACTGTCCCTCTCGTAGTGAACCTCCAAGACAAAGCTGAACAGCCCCATGGGGCTTCCAAAGCTGGCCTACCCAAATCTTCATGGAAGCAGCCAGCCTCATCTTTCTCCCTCGGAGCAGCTGCTGCGCTTGAACCACCAACCTGGGGTTAGCAGCCAAGTGTTTTCATCAGTATGCCACCAAGGCATATTTTGTTTATTACATGTTTAAGTAATTCCACAAACATTCCAGTTTAGGAAACCCTAATGGGGTGGTTTCATTCAGCCACATTGGGATGTGAGAGCTGGAATCCACGAGATGGGATGTAACAGTTTTTAAGGAAGCAGATTGCCAGAGCTTCCTTGCCACCTACTGTTCCCTCCCAACTGTGGAGCTGTTTGGTCAGCTTGCATCTAAGCACTTAATTGCTGAGCCACCAAGGGTGTCCTTTAATTCTCCTTCTGGTTCTGGGTTGCTATCGGGTTAGAACTCGCTTATAACTGACTCTCTGGTGGGTCTCCAGGGCTGTAAATCAAACAGGAAGAGACTGAGTATCTTTCTCCCAAGATGTCCATGGTGGCTTTGAACCAAGAAGCTTGACCTTTGGATTAACAATACAACTCCCTCTGACCATGCCACCAGAGCTCCCTTTTAAGTCTCCTTAAATAGCTATACTTCACCCCACATTTATACTTAGGGAAAGTGAGACTTACAAGCCTATGCTGGAGTCTAACTCCGAGCCTGGCTGCACATTCCCCAGGATCCCTCAACAGTACCTGTCCTTAGCGATGAAGCTTCTCACCTGTTTCTCATTTATTTCAGAACTGACTCATAGCTGACCCTCCAGCAGGTTCCCTGAGGCTGTAACTCTCACAGGAAGTGACTGCCCATCCTTCTCTCGTCAAGCAGCCAATGAATTCGAACGACCTGCTATGGGGCTGGCTGTGTAGATGCTATATATACACTATATACTCATCTGGTAACTTTATTCTGCAACTGCATAAATAAATGAGTGTAATAACCTGTCTTCCTCCTCACCCAGGTTCTCCTGAACAACGCGCTAACAAGCCCACCTCCATCTGGGCAAGTTTCTCACACCTGTGCCCTGCCCCTCCACCACACCCGGCGGAGTGGGGGTTTAACGAGCCAAAGTCAGGAGCCGCCCCCACCTGGCAAAGTGGCTGAGGGCAAAGAAACCGCAGGAGTGAAGAGGTGTCAGCTGAAGAGTCTTCACACGTGCAGCAAGGGTTCACACGGCCTGCCCTGTTCCAGGTGAGGCATTAGCTGCTACGGATGGGGGATGAGTGAAGTAGATTCAAACTCATTGTAGTTACTCAGAACCGACTCATAGCTGACCCTACAGATTTTGGGGAGACTGTAAAGCGTACAGAAGATGGCCCATCTTTTTCCTGAGGAGCACCTGATGGGTTAGAACGACCTTTGGGTTCTCAGCGCAACTTTTTCCTGGCGACATCACCAGAACTCCCTCTAAAACACTGTGCGTGGTTGGAATCAGGTTGTAAATCTACAGGAAATTATTTCATTCCAACTACACCACGAAAGCTAGGGTGTATTTGTTGCATTGGGGAGCCCTCCTCACCTGTGATCCCTTGTCCAGCCCAGAGGTCGGCCTGTTCTGGCACCTGCCCCCTTTTTACTAACTATATGGTTTTGTGCCATCAAGTCAGAGCTGACTCACAGCTGACTCTCCAGCAGGTTTTCAGAGGCAGCAGTCATAAGAGAAGACTGCCTATCTTTCTGAGTAGCTGGTGGTTTTGAACCACCTGCCTTTGAGTTGGCAGCACAACTCCTTACCCACTAGGTTACGCCTGTTTTCAAGTCTCATACCTCCAGGAGTAGCAGGGGCGTTCCCGGAAGCTGATGCCCCCTCCGCAGGTCCGGCTGCAGGGGCTCCACTGGCTCCAGGGGCCCCAAACGTCATTCTGCCGCTGTTGCCGCCTCACCTTTAGGGCCTGGAGAAGATGTAGCATTGTAGCCTCCACTGGACTCTCTGTGAGGACACTCTGGGGGTTCACTGGGGCACCCCCAGTCTAAAAACTTTCATTCAAGGAGCCTGGGATTCAAGAAGCCTGGGATTCTGCCAACCCAAGCTAGCTCTTCAGAACTCCGCAGTTATCAGCAGGAACATCAAAACACATTCAAGATCCAAATGTAGCAAGTTGCTCACCATAGAGGTGAGAGCCAGGTGTATTCTAAAAGAGGTGAGGCACCTGGCGAGGGCTGGCATTCTAGGGCCCAGCATCTGGGGGTCAAGACTGATCTAGGGGGCAGTCATGTTGTCAAGTTAATTCTGACTCACAAGGACAACGACCATACAGGACAGGGTGGAGCTGCCCCAGAGAGCTTCAGAGGCCGTAAATCTTTACGGAAACAGGCTGCCAAACACTTATTCAGTCTTGTTTCACAAAAGAGCCCAGAACCTTGAATCAGAACAAACTGCAGGAAACGCTGAACCACACACAACCCAGGAGCAAGAGCTGGCCAGACCAAGAATCTTCACCCTCACCCCCTCTTTTTTTTTTTTTAAATAATCTAATCCATCAGTTCAAACTGGGACAAAAATCTCCAGGTTTTGAAAACCAGTGAACCAGAACTATCAACATGTTCCCTCAATGAAATTTAAACTGAAATGTATTTGGCTCAACTTCCTGTTTGTTTCAAAAGGGGAGAAACTGTATTTGTAGGGGAGGGGCTGCTTTCTCAAAGAAAAGCAGGGATCCAGGCTTGGATTCCAGCACCCCCAGCCCCAAATCCTCAGCATGTTACAGGTATTTGGGTTGCAGGCCACAGGGGAACTGGCCTCGTTACAATTATCCTTGCACCATGGTCTGCTTGGCTGTCCGTCTGGGCTCCAAACCCACATCCCCCGGCACCACACTGGGCTTACTGTGTGGCCAAGGGAGTCCCTATCAGAAACACATCCTAGCTGAATCTTCTCAGGAAGATTTGACACCTTACAGCTGGTATCAGAAATTCACATTCAACAGCATATTCTCCCATGTAAACCTCAGAATAAGCTGAAGTTTCCCATTATATGGATAAGAAAACTGAGGTACAGAGAGGAAGCCACAGAGAAACCCGGCTCGCGAGCCAGTGTGTGGCGTTGAAAGGTAGAGAGACAACTGGTCAAACACAGGGACTCCCCCCCCCCCCCAGGCATACTTGAAGGCCCTAGAGGAACCTCGCTTCTTGTGCCCGGCAGCTCAGGCCCAGGCATCCACATGTGGGGCCTTCCCGTGGGCAGAGCAGACCTGCCTGCTCCTGGACTTCCATCCACTCCACCGCCACTGCCTCTCAGAAAAGCAAACACCAGGCAGGCACCTCTGTAATTACCAAAGCCATGAACCGCACCATTGTGTGAAGAAGCCATAATGAGCCAGTCCATTCCAGCCTCACCTGGGCCTGTCCTCACCTGCCTCACATAGCTCTTAGCTTTCAGACTGAGAAGAAAGAAACACTGCACCTCACCCATTCTCTTCCAGCTCCCACCTGGAGCAATGCAGGAGCCCCTTTTCCTGCTTGAGTGGTTTCCAGGGAATCCTCCCATTGTGCACAGGCTGTATGAGTAGGGGAGGAGGGTATGTGCAGATGGGGACTCCTGGTCTACCTCCTCTGTCAGCATCACCCTGACCACCCTGAGGGAGAGAAGCCAGGGACTGCATCCTTTTGCCTTCTACTCTTTCTCTCTCCTCTCTCTCTGTTTCTCTCTTGTCTATTCCGTCTCTGTAACGTCTCTCTCAGCACCAAAAGGTCTCCTGAGAAGGTTCTAGGTAAAGAGAATAAAGAACCACAGACAGATATCAGGAGGTGGCCGACTATGAGCAGGGCCGTGTGCCCTCCACCTGGGTGGGGGGTGAAGAACTCACAGCCTGGGCCATGCCCAGCCTCATCGAGGCTCACGGACTTTGAGGAGGAGGCAGCGGAGGGCCAAGGCCCCTCAGATGTGAGCTCCCTCAGGTGTGAGCTCCCTTAGGGGCTCACAGGACCCAGGACACCTGTAAACCTTGACTCATCTCATCCGCACAAGCTAACCCTCCAGTGAAAGGGATTTGAAAATTAATGGTTTGCTAACGGTCACACCGCTGTTTCGAGGTGGTCAGGGGATTCGTTCTGAAGTCTCAGCACTCTCACCTGGGCCCTGCACCTTGGCACCAGCATTCATGCAGCAGGGGCACCTGCAGGAAGCACACCTCAAAGGACCTGCAGTGGGGGTGACCTGACGGAGGAGGTAGCCCAGCGCGCTGTGACCCACACTGGATCTGGGGGGCCTGCAGAGGAATGGCCGCTGTCCAAACCTAAGAGCCCTGGTCCAGGGAGCCCTTCTCATCCTCCTAGACTCACTTTCACAGAGGCAGCATGTCCACTGCTGACCTCACAGTGACAGCTCTGACCCTCATTCAGGGTACTTCTCTTTCCCCTCCTACTTGCCTCTCAGGTGGGTGGGCAGGGCTGTGGGCCTCACAGTGGACAGCACCTCAGGGACAGCTGGTGGCCTGGATGTACTGACACCTGTTTCTGCAGACCTTCACTCACCAAAGGTCAGCTGTCCTGCCATCTAGAAGATTCCACGTGGTTTTTACGTGTGTGTGTGTTGGGGGGATTGCACTGGGTGGCACAGCACCCTCGGTGTCCTAGCGTTGAGCTGAAAGCCCATCTGGTGACCTGGTCGTGGGAGCTGTGCTGCTAACCCAAAGGCTGCGCCTCCTGGTGGACGGAATCCGCTAGCAGCTGCGAGGGAGATGGCTGGTCTCCTCCCCTGCAATTTACAGCTTTGGAAACCCAGTGGAAGGGCGGCTATGGGTCGGTTCTAACTCAATGGCAATGTGTTTTTAGTTTTGTACTTTGTAAACCTTCAACCAAATCAAATAAAGACAAAAGAAAACCTCTGCGGAGCCCATATTTGGGGCTCCTGTTAAAAAGAGCTACTCATTCGGCTCACCAGTGGCTTCCTGTGTGCACTCCGTATTTTCATTCCTGTATACCCATCTATATTTTCATCAACGCAATAGTCACTGGCCATATGTGGCAATATAAATACATTAAAATAAAATAAAATAAAACAAAACTTAAAACTCCATCTGTCAGTTGCACCAGCCACCTTTCAAACACTCAGTAGCCACAGGACCTGCTAGTTGTCTTACTGGATTCCCTGTGGGAGCAGCAATGACTCGAACCCCAAAGTTGCAGGCCCATGCATAGCGCAGCTGAGAGGACAGCCACGTTTGGTGTAGGTGGGACATTTTGGTTGTTCTCAACATCGCCTCCACCTACCCCTGGAAGACCACATGGGAAGGTGGTCTGAACACAGCCCAGCTCCAAGGAGTGGGGTGGAGGGAGGTGGGAGGTTACTACTCCTGCAGCTCATGTATCCAGAGACCAGACTCAAAACTCAGGGCACCTTGATCAGATCGGCTTCAATGCCGGCACTCCTTTCAGGGCTGAGGGCTCCCCTTTCTCCTCTCCCCTCTCCTCCCCATCTTCCATCTTCCCCAGGGTTGTCCCGCCCCTAGGATATTGCTGCCACCAGCCCCAACCAGTACAGGGTGCTTCTCCTTCGTCCCCTGCCTCCAAGGTCCCCTCTGGATTATCGTCCCCATATCTCCCCGCCCCCAGCTCACAAGGCCCTTCTACCTCTCCTCCGCCCCCCTCCCCAAGCCCTCCAGAGATCAGGAAGAGCCACACCCACCGAGGACACCAGCGACAGAGACAGCAGCAGGGACACGAACAGGAGCAGCTGCTGCATCTTCTGTAGGAGAGAAAGAGAGCAGGGGGCCCAGGGTGGGCCGGTGACGCCTGTCCTGAGCGCAGGGATGGTGCGTGGCACTCTTCCAGTTGCCCACGGTGGCCCGGAGACCCGCAGAGAGCTGGAGGGAACACAGTGCCCACAGCAGCTGTGTAACTCACAAAGGTGGGGGGAGGGGGAATGCCCATCCACAGCTGGCAGAAATCCAGGAACAGCTTGTTTCTATGTTTCAGAGGGAAAGGGGGACAATTAAAAAGATGTCTGCTGTTGAAAACTAAGAGTTCAGGTTCAAAGGAGTCAGATTTGCATTATTTTTTTATTCCGTAAGCGATTCCTTTATAAATAGCCATTAGTGTTGACTTCCACACCAGGGAGCATTTCTCAGCAGGGGGGGATGCACCACGTAATCTCTGGGGATGCAGCAAACGTGGAGTGTGCATGTCGAGGCTTGTGTAGTGTGGTTGTGCATGTGTGCATTGCAGTTTGTGCGGTAGGTGCGTGCGATGTGTGGGCATGCTGGGCGTGTGCGCAGACACGTGGGGGGCTGTGCAGTATTGTGAACCGTATGCGTTATTCATGCGTATCCGTCTGTATGCAGTGTGGTGCATGGAAGCTCAGTGTTGTGCAATGTGTGCGCGCATGCGAGCCAGTGCGTGTGCGACGAGCGCAGTGCAAGCTTCGGGGGAAGTGTGGTCCACACCTCTTCGTGTGTGAAGGAGGTGTGCCCGTGCGTGCACGCCACCGTCGGGGAGAATGACCTAGACGCTGCGCTGCTCGAGTGAAACGTTAAATAAGCTAGTCTACTAACTGGTAGGCTTGAATTTAAAAATCGAATTTCAGTACCGTTCTCTTTCATCTTTTCAAATCATTTGATGAATTCGGTTTATAAGGATAAAACTAAGCACACATACGCCCTTCAGCCAAATGCAACCTGGCACCTTTCGCCACGCACAGACTCGTTAGAGGGTGCAGAGCGACCGAGCCATTGCCACACATTCAAATCAAGACTGCTGCTATGAGCAGAGGTGAGGGAGGTGGGGAGGTTCCGCGCAGCCCTGAGGAGGACGCTGGCAGCACCGACGGAGGGGTATTCTAGGGCTAAAGGTTAAGCACGAGACGGAGACGTGCGTTTAGGGAGGGTGAACAGACTCAAGAAAGGGCCAGAGGAAAGAACACTGGTGATGACACAGTTGCGACTAATCTGGCCACCGCTCTGCAGTTGTCACTGGACCACCATCACCATGACCAAAGCTGCGATTCCAAAGTCCCAAGAACCGGAAAGCTCTGCTTCTCACAGACAGAAGAGTGCTTTGGTGATAAAAAACAACAGCAATCTGTTGGCCCCCTGTGTCAGCGTGGGTCACGGTCCTGGCCCTAGGACGCACAGAGCAGGCAGGGAGCATGGAGACGTGGCGAGTGGGGCGCACGCTGAGCGGGGCGCTCTTTTCGGCGGGCAGCTTGCCTGGTTCGCCCCTCCTGCGGTTCCGACCTGTCGGGCGCTGCAGCCCCACGGTCCCCGACGGACCCCTTGTCCTCAGAACGACGCCCTGCCCGCGTGGCCCCACCGGGGCGCCCGCCGCGCTGCAGGCTCCACTCTGCCCGGAGGACGCGCGGGGCCCGGGGCTGCGGGCCGGGCCGGGTCCCACTGGAGGCGCGCAGGTTCTGGCGCCCCAAGCCCTGACCCGGGCAGTTCCGGGAGCGGAAGCCGGGTCTCCACCGCCGGAGCAGCGGTTGAAGGGCGAGGAGGAGGCGCCCTCCGAGCCCTGCGCTCCGAACCACGAGCGCCGCCCACCCGGCCGGGGAGCAGCACGTAGCCCGCCCGCCCTGCGCCCACCTCCGCCGCGCCCTCCCCGCAGCTGGCCCGGCACGTCCGTGCAGATGCTTCGGGGGTGCCGAGCTCCAGTCCCCCCGTCCTACCTGTCCCCGGGAGCGCAGCCACCCGCGCCCGTCCCTGCTCACGCCGGAGCGAAGGCTGGACGTTCCCTCCCCACCCATGGCTGGTTCCTGCCCCGCCCCAGCACCCCCAGGCAGCCTCCGACACCCTCCCTGGACTGGTGGGTGGGCACTAGCCTGTGGAAAGGCCCCTTCGGTGACCAAGACCTCCACCGCCTGGAGTGGACACCATGTTGGGGCTGCTCCTCCTCGAACCAACCTTTCTTGGGCCGGCACCCTCCCTGGCGCAACCATCCTGTGCCAAAATTTTTCTGCTCCCGGCCACCCTCCCAAGGCCCCTTACACACAACTCCCCTCCGCATCCGACCGCCTCCTTCCCCGCTCCTCCAGCCTGGACCTCAGACACTACGGAGTTCCCATCTTACCTCCAGTTAGCTTTCTCCACTTCCTAGAATGCGCTCTTCCAGTCGCTTCTACCTCACAAACTCCTACTCATCTGGCAAACCTCAAATGTCACCTCCTCCGTGAAGCCTTCCTGGACGCGGCCCAGGCCAAGCAAACTGGTGCTTCCCTGGGCTGTCCCCTCAGTCCCCGCTGTAGTTCTCAGAGTCACCGCACAGTGCGGGTCAGTCTTCCTTCTCCCTGATCCCGTGGTGAAGTGGGGAGGTCCCTGAAGATAAGAGCCTTATTTAACATACAAAAAATGTCTTCTAGCCTTGATTATGACAGGAGTTTCACCAAGTGTGACAAATTTTATTTCCTTTCCTGGCTGCCCCTTAACTAAGCTATGCCAGGCCTACCAACACAATTTTGGAACTGGAAATTCACCTATCCCTCGGGGAAATGGCACTGGGCCTGACACACAGGGGAAGGGGTGAGAGGAAGAGGGTCACAAACGCTGGCATCCTTCCCCCCCACCAGCATGACCAGTTCCCTCAGTACGTGTGAAAACTGGGGTGCCATGACCAGCTCCCTCAGTATGTGTGAAAACTGGGGTGTGCATGCTTGCTCAAACTTAAACACTTAAAAGTCCAGGCCCGTTTCTGACCTGGGAAGAGAAGAGCCGCTACAGCTGTGTAGCTTGAGCCTCTGGGGAGTCTTGGGGATTTTAAGGCAAAGAGAAAGCTTAACAGAGTAAGGGGAGTGGAGTGACCCCAGAACCTCCGTAGAAAAGGAAAATTAAAAAAAAAAAAAAAAAAGGAAAATTGTTTCTTCTGTTTAGAAAGCCCCGCCCCTGCCCCTCAGTCCTGACTTGAGGTTGGTCAAAGGTTCTTTGCTCCGTGGGGGGAGGTTTTCCAGTTGTGGGGTGGGGAATGGTGGGTGAGGAATGGGATTGAGGGGAGGGGGAGGAAAGTCGGGGCTGCTGGGTGGCAGAGACCCAAGGAATTTACCTTCCCTTTTGCTCCAGTTCTCCCTCTGATGCCTTCTCAGATTCCCAGACCCACAGTTTCTTTCTTTGTTTTTATTTTCTTATTGTTGAGAATATATACACAGCAAAACACACATCAATTCAACAATTTCTACACATAAGATATCGTGGCATTGGTTACATTCTTCGAGGCATGCAACCATTCTCTCCTTTTCGGATTTGTTTCTCCATCAACATCACTTTTCTGGGACATCTTGTCAGGAGGTTCAAGTCCTTGGATCACGCTGGGAGAGGTGGAGGGGTCATCAAAAGATAGGTGTTAGGCCTAGACCAAGGTCAAAGTGGAGAATAATACCACATGTCAACAAAAGGCCTCACCCACCTGGCTGAACCACAACAGAATGTCCCCCCCTTCCTTCCCTGAAGACCCTGCTATAAAAACCTGCCCCAAACCACCTTGGATGCAGGTCCCCTGGTCTCAGTCTCCAGACCAAGGAACCTCGACCTGGAGCCCCCTAGAGTCCACAACCTAACAAGAGGAAGACACTCAACAAGATGGATTGACACAATGACTTTTTTTTCCCATTTGAAAACAATTTATTGCCTTCTCCCAAAGTTTTGTAGATTTACACACATAAAAAAGAACCAAAATTTACAGATCGCTCAGTTCAGACTGAGGATCAGAAGTGAAAACTTGGGCCTCCATGGCGGCTGGCTGGCAATGCACCCGTTTGCCAGCAGATTATGTCCCAACACCATTGAAAAGAGGTTCCCCCAAATTCATATTAATGTTTCCAAGAGATGCATTCTTTATTCCTTATGCACCATCACATGTGGGTCAAGTCACTGGAATGGCAGACGTTGATTTGGTTTTTTGTTTTGTCCTCTTGCTATAAAAAAATGAAACAATTCATTTCTGAAAAATAAATTGGTCAAAAAATTCATTTTGTTCTGCTTTTACTTTACACAGGGCTTCATATTCAACTCCATACCTTTCTAGCTGCATTTTCTCTTCTGCAATTAGTGCTTGAGGTTGTTGTTGCTGGACTTCTCTCTGCTTTGTTATAGATTTGAGCAAGTTCTGGGCATCGATGACCTTCATCTTCTCATTTTCTGCTTTTGTTGCCAGTTGGTCAACAAGCCCAGTGAAACCACCAACTATTTTTTTGAAACTGGCTGATTTTGTCCACAAAGTCCTTGCATTCTTCTTGAAGCTCTCTGGTCTGCTGGGTGACCTCTGGGTCCAGCACCTGCAGCTTGCTTAGGTCATCGAAGTGCAGCCCTGCCTCACCCAGGATGTCCTTGGCCATAGCTGCAGGCCGGAGGACCATGCCGTGGTCCAGGCTGACGTCTGCGGCAGCTTCAATCTCTGGACAGCAGTACTTGAACTCCCTGCATCTCCCCGCTGGTACCTCAGCTCCAAGGCCTGTTTACCCGTGACTTCACTGCCTGACACCAGAAGCACTTCCATCGACACAATGACTCTAGCTCAGCTGAGTGTGAGGTGTTGGAGACCGTGAGGATGGCGCCGGGTGGGGTGAGGTTCCGATCTGTTGCTCATCTGTTGTTCAGAGGCACTGTGACTCATGGAGGACTCGGTGACGCCTCACAACAACAACAAAGCAAGTTTCAGGAGTTCATCCAACATTCTCAGCTCCAGGAGGTATAGGTTCCCTGAGAATTTCACAGTCTGCACTGCATTCTCCCCACCCCACTTTGCATTGGGATTATTCCGTAAACTCGTTGACGAAAATATTCAGTAATTGGGCACTGGCAAGTTCTTCGGTTCTTGTGGCAGCAGAGACAGCTGTTCAAGGAGGCAGTAGGCAGTAAGGTCTTACCTTCTTTGTGTTCCTGAGTCTCCTTCCTCCCTTGCTTCAGGCAAATAGAGATCAGTTGTGCCCTTAGATGGTCTTGCAAGCTTTAAGATCCTGTTAGGTTCCACTGAGGCCAGTATGACTCCTAGTGAGTCTATGAACAATGGATCTGAATCCTGTCCCATCCCGTGCCATCTTCTCCATCTCTGATAAAATCAAGCCCATTGCAGCAGTCACCATCTCCTTGAGGAATCTTCCTGTCTTCACTTCCTTTCTTCACTGACCCTCCACCCTTCTAATCCTGATGTCCTTTTCCAAGGAATGGCCTCTCCTAGCAGCATGATCAGACTATGAGAGGTGAAGCTGTGCCACCTTGACCAAGGAGCATCCGGGCTGCACCTTTTCCGAGACATATTTCTTCATTTTCTTGGTACTACATAATGAACTAAGAGGGACAGAAGTACTAAACTTGTTATTAGGACAATTAACGGGGATCAAACCCATGATTTCTCAGCTCTCACCCTAACTGCAAAACAAAAGTCCTAAAGTTGAGGCGGGAGAACCCACACATGGTGCTTGGTGGGAAAGCTTGGACCCACCATCTGGCCTCCACCAGTTACAGGCCTGGGCGATTACTTTTTGCCATCATCTGGTATAACTTTTTGCTATCTTCTGGGGATATGGTGAGCACAGCACCTAACAGCATGGTTTAGAAAGGAAATTCCACAAAAGAAGATTAAGGCTCTCATTTTCTTGTAAACGCCACTCATTGTCTCCATCACAGACCTCCTTCCGTGTGGGGCCAGGGTCAGCTCTTCGAGGCAAACTGGCCTGGTTGCTCCTGGCTCTCACTGTGTGTGCACTTGGGCATGTCCCATAGCCACCTCATGTAGAGGGTGACTGAGTAGAGAAACAATTGACTTCCATAAAGCTCCTACCAGGTAGGGGTCAATGATAGAATCTCCATTAAGATGAAGACTAGGACTCAACTCGTAGATGGTGTATCTTAAGCATGACCATCATTGATTGATCTTTCAGTGGAACTTGCTCGTTGTTACAATGCTAAACATATTTCAGGCAGAGCTTCAAGACTAAGATAAATTTGGTATAAAGGTTTACAATCTACTAAAAACTCTATAGATCACTGTAGTGTCAAGAGTTTATTGTTCAAAATGGCTTTTCTACCCTTGACCCTGACTTTGCCACATGAATGGATGGGATCATACAAATAGAGAGTGTTGGCCTATGCACAGGGGGATTGGCTCATCTCATCACTCCACTAGGTTTAAATCAAGCAGTTTCAGTGGCAGAAATTGAGAATCTCAACACCAAGAAGAGGAAGCAGCCTACATCCTTTGGGGCCAGAGATTCCTGAGCCAGCCACACCTGGATCAAGACAAGAGGAAAAGGAGTCTCAGCAGAGAACCAGAGACTGACATGAAACATAAACTTCTTTGGACTGCTGCACCACAGAGCCAGAGCCAGAGGCCTTTACCCAAGCTTGGGATGAAAGGAACTTTATAACACTGACATAACTGAGATTGAAGGTCAAAGGGCCTGTGCCCATGTTTGAGAAACTGTCTGGACTAAGGGACTGTATCCTGCTACCAACCTGAATTATAGCCTGTTAACTTCCCTGATAAACCCCATAACCCTGAGTATGGTTCTGTGAAGTCTGTGTAGCCGTTGCAATGGATTTCAGACTCAGTAAAGCAGTAATACTGATGTTGGAATTAGTAGAAATAGGTGCATGGAAGAAGTGGCATCCACTTCCTAAACAAAATGCCTCTGGAAACTCCATGAACTTTGAGAAACGATAGTTATAGAAAGGCTTCAGGTCTTTTGTTCATAGAGTTACAATGAGTCGTGCTCAACTATAAGACAATCAACAGCAATAGGTGCATGGGAGACCATGTCTGACTGTAGGAATCAGTTTTGTACTGTGGTTGTTGTTTATGGGGACAGTTCCCCTTTGTGGAGTTGATAGAAGTCAGAGTCAGTTGTTCTCTTCTTTATAATTACAGTGGTCTGATCCACAATGGATGGTTGTGATGGAGCAGGGCCAATAGTGATTCTTTCTCTGGTGCAGAGAACAGGGCTGGGAGAGAAACAGCCAGCAAGGTGCTGAGTAGTAATCTTTCCTGCCTGCCCCACGCTGCCTCCATGGATACCCTACATTATGATCAGCAATTCAAGTCCAGATCAGAGCCAAAGCCACAAAATAAGTGAGGCAGATATTTTTGTCTGGT